TATGGCAATTGCTGAAATTATTTCCCTGGCGAACTTTTGATGTTTTTCGGCCAGAAATGTTTGTTAACTGCCAAATCAATCTACGCCAATCGATGCTGAGCAAAAACGCATCGTTGGCCCATTAAAAACCAATTTAATTTACTGATTGAAAGAGGGGGTGGGAAATGGTGGGGTGTGAATACACTCATAAATATTCAGGAGAATATTAAGCAATTTGACAACTTTTCGTTCTAGAAAAAAAATGTAGTGTTGCAGTTGATAGTATTAATAAATATAACTTATCTTTAAGCCACATGTTGAAATTTAGTTATACACGTTAAATATTTTAGAAATTATTTAGAAATAATAAAGGTGTCATTAATAATTATTAAAAGAAATATTGAGTTCCAAATACATGGACATTTTAGTATCAGTCTTAAGCTAAGTTATTAACGAAGAGATATATTTTTAGTTTAAACAATAAGCTCATCATTTTTAATTACCAATATAAAAGATAAATTACTACAATAATTTTTTTTTCTTTTTGCTAATTTTTTTCTCTGTGTCATGGAACACATTTTCAGCAACCACGAAATTTGATCAGAGATAAATTCCAATTATTAAAATCGAATTTGCACAGCAAGTCAGCACATGCAACATGCAATGGGCGTGGCCAGTGGGCGGTTGAAGGGGTGGGGAAGGGAAGTAAAGTGTGTTGCATTTTGGAAGCCACTGAAACATTTTATCAAATTCTAATTATGCAAAACGGAGGGGAAAAAAGCAATTAAACCGAATGTCCCCAAATGCTCGTATGCAACTAACTATAAAATGGGCAAATTATCAGATCTCCCAAGCGAACAGAGTGTGGGGGCGTGGCCAACACACATTGTTCGAGGGAAGGAACTGCATATATATATATATATTTAGTGGTGTTTCGACTTTCTTGATACGTTTTCCAATTAACTCCGCTGTCCAGTGTTTGTAAGCGCTATTCGCCCAACAAATTTGCCATGAAATTGCATTGTTGGTGCTTCAATAAATCGCAAAATCTACAGATCAACAATAACTAAATCTTTCTGGGGCGGGGATTGCATAAATAAATGTAATACCCGGTTAACGCTTCATAAAATTGCACTTTGTTCAATCGAATTGACGGTGCTCGAACTGACCCGACAGTGCGAGAAAAATAAAAAGCTTTTTCAACAGGGAAAACAAAAACAGGATGTGTCCACACAATGGCGATAGCATAAAGTATAAATTGTAAATAAATAAATTTTATTGCAAGGCGAATTGTGCTTTGCTTTTGTTTTACAATTTCTGCATCATAGGCGCATCCATTTGACAATTGACAGCAAAACGAATGGCGAAAACAGCGAGGAAATAAATAAAAATCATGAAAAATTGCAAATTATAAGCAAACAATGTAGAGGCCACAAGAAAATAGTCCTTTATTATAATGCATTTAAAGATGCCCTTTACACAAATAATTGGTAAGTTATTAAGTCAGGGAATCAACAGAAAAATCCGTGATTTTAAAATCACTTTTAAATTTGTATAAATTAATATTTGAGTTTATTTTAAAATACACCAGATAAAAAAATATTTATATTTGTTTCAATCCCTATATTCTGTTTAATTTTAAATTTTATAATATTTCATTTTCTGAAGTTAAATTTAAGTTATTTTCATATAAACTTTAAACCTCTTAAAATGTATTTCAAGACATTTTTTTATTTAAGTAGCACTTATATGCCCCAGCCACGTTTTTGTAAATTAATATTCCTTAATATGTTCATAAATAATAAAATGGAGTAATAACAAAGTGCATAAAAACAAATATAAATAATACATAAATACAATGGCGAGCAGACCGCGGAAAATAAAGACACGTCCCATTAAGTTAAATGCTTGTTTCCCATCTCTTTTTTCCAACTTCGGCTGTCTCTTTCTTTGGTTATTTTTGAAGCTTTGGCACTTTGTCATAAAATATGCATGCATCATATTTACACGACCAACATTAAATTTGCAATTTTCCCGGCGTTTCTTTAATATACACCGAGAATGTATGTATTAATATTCGTTTTTTTTGTAGCTAAGCGGAGTGAAACTGAAATATGGTTTTCCATAAATAAGCTAAAAATTAAATATTATATATTTACGTTTACGTTTAAGAGAAAATATTATTCAAATTTAGTGTGTCTATATATGTATGTATATTCCAAAAATGTATTTAAAATTTATATTGTTTGATCATAAAACTGAAGAGTTTGTAACTCCTTTTTTTTATCATAAAAACTTAACATATGGCTAAAGATAACCTAAACAACTATTTTGGAAATATACTATAATTAAAAAATCGTTAAAAGTGGGCATATAACGAACCATAAATAACACTAATGTCAATTCCCAAACGAACGCATCAAAGGCACGAAACTCCAAATATTTCTATAATTAATCAAATTGATTTACGCTAATGCCTCCCACACTCGAATGTCCTCCCCTGTCCTGATTTCCTAACATTTTATTGCCTTTTTTGCTGAACCCATAAATCAAATGGAAAAGCTGCAACTGCAACCAGTTCCTGTTTAGAGGAAAAGCTTAAGAGCGGCGCAGCGAAGCGTTGTTCAATTATTTCTGAACGCTAATTAGTCGGACAACTAGCGCCACAACGATTATTATTTCTTCTTTTGACATTAACACACCGACAAAAAAATGAAATCAATTAGGCGAACCAGTGCACAAAATGGAAAATAATCCCGCCATGAGGCCGACGATGATTATTGTGATGGATATTTTATGTGACACCACTGACCGGCGGACCAAAGTGGGTTGACCTCATTGCAACGGCTGACATTTGTGATTCTGATTCTGATGCTGCTTTGTTTCCGTTTCCGCTGGGCCCGTTTTGACATCTGCGCTTCGGTTTCGGACAATCCACCCACCACCCACCACCCACTGCAAATTCAATTTAGCTCCGTTTTTATGATAATTTATATATCAATATACACACGAAAAACGAAATTACTTTTTGGCTTATTAATTTATGCACGAAACTCGCGGGACCGAATGAATTGATTTGTTTTGGCGCATAAATGTGCAATTTTAAGTGATACCTAAACATTTACACAATTTATTACACTGAATTGTCACAGTATTTTGTGAGTGAAAATCCTTGCATTGCATTTGAGCCGATCGTAGAAACTGAACTGAAGCACTGAGAATCTTATGGCAGGGCATTCCATTGCCATATGCCAATTATGCTGCCCCAATATTATGTTTATGCCTTTGGATACACTTGAGTGGCTATCGACTGCAAAATAAACTACCCAAAGACGTGTAACCAAGTGTGTGCCTATGTGGAAGCGATCAATCGAAACGATACGAAATTGTTTTGATAAATGCCAACGTCAAACATAAATACAGGGTTCCCCAACTTGCGGCCAGATTAATTATTCCTTTCTAAGAAAATATATAGTCGTGTTTATAATCATAAGGATTTTCTTATTTGTAGGGCTCTTATGTATTTTTGTTTTTTTTTTAATATAATGCTGCCATGTGTTTTGCGATTAAATTAAATGGAAAATTATAAGAACTTTCTTTTTGCGATTAATAGATGATATGAACTTTCTTTTTAACCTGACTTTATTTTGACATTAACAATATAGCTCAACCTTAGTTGTTTTTTATGTGATCAAAATCAGCTGCAACAATTTAATTTCCCCTCCCATATTCTCCCATGTTCTAGTAATAAAAATATTGGCGCAGTCAATTTAAATAAATTGCGAGATTTGTATGTCCATAAAGATATATATTATTTTTTAAAACATTTTTTTTGGCTTAATCATAATAATAATTATTACAATGCGCAGCATTCTGTGTTAAAAATATTTAATTCTGTATTAGGACATTAGGAGAATTACAACCCGCTTAAAAATATTTTAAACATTTAAGAACTTTTGCCAAAAACCAGAATTAACAAGGAAGAGGGCCAACCTCGCAAGTCGAATCTTAAATACATCTTACATTGCAGCTTTAGTACTTAATCTTAAAAAGTTCAAAGAAATAGATAAATACATATTTGATCATGTTGATCAAGAATTTACATACGAAATGGTTGGAAATGTCTCATTCACTTATGATTAAAATTATAATGCCATCGACAAGGGTAAAAATAGGAAAAAAGGTTTTTGTCCCTGTCATGTAATTATACATGGTATCTACATAGGATTGTGTTTAAGTTATGTAAGTATTTTAATACTAAATCGAAATCGATAGTCAGATGCCTATGTTTGTCATCACTAATAACAGCTGTAAGCAATGTTTTGCTTGTATTTTCGATTCAAATAAAACGGCTTTTAAGAACATATTTGTTGTAAATATTTAGTTCTTAAAAAAATATGATATGTATGTATGTCTTCATGGTGATTTCTATTAAAATTAAAATGTCATAAATTTTTGGTGCCTTCTCCAATCAGTACTTTTAACTTTTCAATGTACCGATTTTAATGCATTTTTTAAATATTCTGCAACACAATTCAATAGGTAAGTCAATACCTATTCAATACCATTTCATTTAAATAAGAAGAATCTCAATATTTAAAAAAAAAATAATTTTCAAATATATAAAGGTTAAAAAATGACATGCAGAGAATTAACACGCAAATTCAGTCCTAATTCAATTGATTTCAGTTTCAAAATGTTCAAGGTAATTATCGTAATTTTTTGATTTTTTCCTAGGTTCTGTGAGATTATAACTATTTAATCAGGATACTAAAACGAAAATCGTTTGCATAACTAGACTTATCCAATAAGTATGTATTTTCGGAATGTAAAAGTAACGTACATTTTTTTAATTAACTATTTGTTTAATAAATTAAAATATAATTTCTTTATTAATAATTAAATGCTTAATAACATCAGAATTATAATCTAATTTTCAAAAGTTTTACGAATGTATGCGTCTTAATTGATTATTTAAAGCCCGAATAAAAAATGTATGGGTTCGTAGACTTATGCCGCCTGGTAACACTAAATAAATATATAAAATATAATATAAAGCCCGGCTTAGAGATAACGAACTGAAAAACTTGTGAGTCCAATTGGTCATCTGATTGTCCCTAAAATGGGAGAACTTGTTATGCGAGCTGCATTGTCAGCAGTTTTGGGAATCCTCCTGATCACGGGCTGTAAATCGGATCAGAGGTTCAAGTACGAGATCAAGGAATTCCAAGTGCCGCTGGATCACTTTAGTTTCCTGATCAACGCCACCTTCAACATTCGTTATTTGTACAACGACTCGTTCGTCGACAAGAGCAATGCCCGCACTCCGATCTTTTTTTACACTGGAAACGAAGGGGACATCGAACTTTTTGCCCAGAATACCGGATTCCTGTGGGAACAGGTGGAAAAACAGAGGGCTTTGGTCATTTTCGCGGAGCATCGGTACTATGGAAAGTCTCTGCCCTTCGGGAGTTCCACTTTTAACACCAGCATGCCGGAGCACTTGGCCTATTTTACGGTGGAACAGACTTTGGAGGATTACGCCATGCTGATCACTTATCTGAGGAGCGATCGCCAGATGCCCGTGGTGGCCTTCGGGGGATCCTACGGCGGAATGCTGGCCGCCTGGTTCCGAATGAAGTATCCGCATTTGGTCACTGGAGCCCTGGCCGCCTCGGCCCCCATTCTCCAGTTTCCCGGTATAACCGATTGCGACATATTCTACAGGATTGTGACTTCGGTTTTCGAGAATGCCTACAACGCAAACTGCACAGTGAACATTGCCAAGTCGTGGAAACTCTTTGAGACTCTGGGCGGGAACGATGCCGGCAAGAAGCAGATATCTGATGCATTTCACCTGTGCAGTCCGATCAAGAGCGATGTGGATTTGAAGAAGTTCCTGGACTACATTGAAGAGGTCTACAGCAATCTGGCCATGGTGAACTATCCGTACAACAGCAGTTTCCTGGCTCCATTACCGGCTTATCCTGTGAGGCAGGTATGCTACTATCTGAAGGATTTGCATACAGGCGATGGAGATTTGCTGCACGCCATGTCCAGTGCCCTGGCAGTCTATACCAACTACACTGGGTCCTCCAAGTGCCTGGATATATCCTCGAACTCGAATGCCGATGAGGCCGGCTGGAATGTTCAGACCTGCAACCAGATGGTGATGCCTTTCTGCTCCAACGGTACTGAAACCATGTTCCGCTCATCTGCCTGGAACTTCAAGGATTTCGCCGATAAGTGCTACAAGAACTATCGTCTCACGCCCAAGCCGTATGACATTATTTTACGTTATGGCGGAAGAAATCTGGAAGCTGTCACCAATATCATCTTCAGCAACGGTCTGCTAGATCCGTGGAGCGGTGGCGGTGTTCTGCAGTCCCCCAATGACAAGGTCTTTGTCATCATCCTGCCGGAGGGAGCCCATCACCTGGATTTGCGCCACAGCGATCCGGCTGATCCACCGTCAGTGCGCGATGCTCGCGAAAAGGAGGCAGAAATCATAGCTCGTTGGATTCAAGAGTTCTGAAATGAGATTGCTTTTATTCATTCGGCTTAAAACTATGTAAAAGCTTTTTATAGGCCAAGCTATCAAACATTTGAAATTATTAAAACATAGTTATAACAAGTGAACAATTTTTTAAAAATACAAGATCTATTTTGTAGCACTTTTAAAAATTATTATAAATGTGTACTTTTTTAATCTGTATTTTGAATTAATTTTTCTGAGTTGATTCAAAAAGACTTTTAAACAATAAAGACATTTATTATTTGGTAAAAATAGTTGGAAAAGGTTTCGAATCTGAAATAACTACTGCAGAATTTTAATATTTTTAAAATAAATTTTCAAACTTACCTATGGATCTATAAATTACTGGTGATACAATTATAATCCTGGCAGTGGCCGCTTTATGCTCAAACTTGATACGACTAGTATATTTACTTGGAATTCCAATATAATTCATAAAAACAAAGAGCAATTTACAATTGGATCGAATTTAACTAATCGATGGAAACGCTGGATATCTCCATGGAGCTGGCATCATCCGAGGGCGGCTGCTCGGTAGGATTTGCTGTGCCGCTGGTTGTTCCAGGTGTCTCCTCCGTGGCCGTTGTGACTGCAGTTGCCGATGTGGTTGTAGTACTGCTGGCAGCCGGGGTTAAGCTAGTTCTGTTGGCCTGCGATCGACGCATCCCCTCTACTAAAGATCGACCCGGACGTAAGCTGTTCGATGAGCTACTTGAACCTGCGGCAGCAGCTGCTGTTGTGGAGGTCGTCGTGGTTGCTATGGAGGTGAAGGGCACACGGACTCGGACATCTTGGAGCTCCCATTCCATCTCATCCTCGGAACTGGTCTCTGCATTCGCCACTGCCGTGGTAGTTTTAGGCTTCTTTTGCCACTCGGCATTGCGCTTCCAGTCGATTGTCTTCAGCAATGCCTTCGCCTCTGTTTTGCGCTGAAAATATAAAATACTTTGTTTAACTACGTTATGGCTGGAACAAAAAAATAAGCTCACATCATCGGAGTCCAGACACTTGTAAGCGTAATAGGCAGCTCTTTCGTAATCCGCCTTCTTCTCGTAGTAGTTCGCCAGCGTCATAAAGCCCTGGTAGAGGCTCTGTTTATCGGTGGCCGCCCGCTCATCCTCGCAGTACATGATGTAGCAGTGGACCGCTGTCTCGTGATCGCCGAGCTTCTCGTGCAGATTGGCCAGTTTGTACATGGCTATGCCCTCTATATCACCCACATCAATGGCCTTCCAATAGCATTTAACCGCATTCTCGCACTTGTCCAGCTTTTCGTACGTTTCACCCAAGGCAACCAGCATGCGGGAGTCGTAGGGACGCAGTTGATGGGCGATTTTAAAGTAGTACAAACTGTAGTAGTGCATTTTGATGATCTCATAGGCCTGACCCAGTCCATACCAGGCACGGTAGTCCCGCTTATTGACCTCCACTGCCTTTCGGTAGCTTTGTATAGCTGCATTAGTGTTCTTCAGTTCCATGAACTCGTGACCCATTAGCGTCCAGGCGGCCAGGTACTTGGGATTTAGCTTGAGAGCCCGCTGGAAGTAGGAAATTGCCACCTGGTGATCACAGCGTATGCTGTAGTAATTGCCTGGGGGGAATATCATAAATTATTAGTTTAATACATCTTTGCAAACTGAAATAAACTCCCACCTATCACACAACACGTCTCCGGACGGTACTTATTGATGCTCACAGCCTTGTGGGCCAACTGGGCCATCTCGGTTTTCATCTCCTTGACGAACAGGAGGTTCGAGTAGGTGTCCACATTGTCTAGGCGGTAGGGATCGTTCTCGAGAAGTGCTTGGTACAATTCAATTGCCTTGTCCACATCCCGCTTGTTGTGATAGACCAGAGCCATTTGTGCGATCAAATAGATGCTTTTGCTGAAGCCCGAAGCTTGAAGATCCTCGTAGATCTTCAGGCCGTCGTCATTTAGGTACAACTCCAGGTAGGTGTGCGCCATGAAAAAGTGCCGCATCCAGTGCCCGCCAAGCTGCAGGCTAAGCAGCTTCTTCTTCTCCATAATGAGCGGAGATAGTTCTAGGTAGGCGCTCCACAACATGGGCACCAGTCTAATGGCCTGGATGAGCATTTGCTCGGCAGCCTGGTTGAGATTCAGGGCTTTCAGGACGACACCATACAGATAGATGCCGTAGCCGTCCAGCCGGCTCTTTCCGTACTCCATACGCAATGTGGCCAGTAGATCGGCGAGGTCACGCATCTGATTCGGTTCGTGGAGATTGGCCTGGTCGGTGGTGGAGTCCAGTCGGCGCTTTTCCCGCGCCATGTATGTGGAGTAAAAGTGCAGAAAGCGCGGCACACTGGACTCGCAGTTCCTAACTGCATGGGCCGCCCGATCGTACTCCCTTACATCGTAATAGCTCTTGGCCAGAAAATAGTCGCTGTACTCTGCCGGCGCAATCCCTTCCAGCTGGCATTCGCTGAACGTGCGATCCTCATTGGGAGCTTCATTATCTATTTGCACGTCGGCCAATCCGTTGTGCATCTCCGCCAGCCACTTGGTGCTGTAAAGCAGACCCCGCTTGGAGCATTCGACGATCCCGCGGCGCAGCTCCCGCTTCACATCCGGCAGCAACACGCTGAAGAACTCCTGCATCTTGTTCTCGGTTCAATTCGGTTTGATATTGTTTGCAAAATTAACGAAAACAATTTATTTGCCGGTCGCGCTTCGCTTAGCGATGTGCTAACAAAAAAAATCGGACAGCAGAAAATGGTTATCGATCAATCAATGATGGGAATAGTTCCGTTAGTGAACAGTCACGAAATATTTTTTTGAAAATCTGTACCTAAGATCGAAATTAGGTACCATTCTAACCTTTCCCAACAAAATAATTATAACGTGTAACAGTTACTCAAGCACAATTTTTAAGACTTTTAAACCTTGTACAGAAAAAAAGTATGTATTGATTAACATGGTTTTCATAGTATTTCGTGTGTGTTTCTTTAATAATGGGCCCTAACAACGAATGCATAAAAATATCAAAATATATCAAGTGGAAAACAGCAAAAACTTGTTTCTATTTCGTTATTAATAAAATGCCCATTTATACAAATGACTAAAAACAACCATTTTCTCGTTAAGTTTTGTTACTTTTCAAGTATGTAAATGTTGAGCTTTAACTGTTAAACTGTTACAATTTTTGATAAAGTTAACAATAACAGACTTTAACATTGATTTTAAATTTAACTGTTTAAATTGTGACCAGTACTCTCATCACTTATCTTATCTCCAAGGCACAACATTCTTCACCTGGTCACACCAAGAAAAATATTAATGCTGACCATAACAAACTGTGCAACATCATAAAGATAAGAAACAATAACATGTTTGTGAATTCAATACCTTTGTTTAAATAAATGATTGGAACCCGTGACGTCCTCTTCCGCGGGAAATGCGACCCCCACAGTTCCGCAAATAGAGTTTAAAGGTCAAATATCAGCTGACTGTAACTGCGCAGACAACAGAAGCAGCATTTAAATGCACAATAATCATCGTAAAGCTTTGTGGGCTGATTCACTTGTTTACGCAGGCACCTTTATCATCCGACCCGATAACCTGTTAGCTATATAGAGACTATACGCCATAGGCGTCACTCCTGCTTTGTTTACAAGCAAACGCACATCGCACAATGAGGCTCAAATCGGGAATATTTCTGGTGCTGCTATTGGCCACTTTTCTGGGTCTAGGCGAATGCTTTTGGCCCTGGCCTTTTACCAGAAAACACAGGTCTAACCCACCACCACCGCCTCCGCCACCTCCTGAACCCAAGCTTTCGCCCGTGATTTTTGGTAAGTCCATTGATTTTCGCTTTCCAAGGTCAGATTGTGTTAAGATACTATCAAATTTCAGTTCCCGGCGATGGAGGCTGCCAGCTAGATGCCCGCCTAAATAAGTCCAGCGCTCCTTATTTATTTTGCCAAAAGACCCACGACTGGTACAATCTCTGGCTGGATCTCGAGCAGTTGGTCATTCCCATGGTGTATTGCTGGATAGACAATGTCAAGTTGTACTACGACAAGGTCACCAGGACCACCCACAATACGCCTGGTGTGGAGACAAGGATTCCCGGCTGGGGCAATCCGGAGGTCGTCGAGTGGATCGATCCAACAAAGAACAGTGCCGGAGCCTACTTCAAGGACATCGCCAATGTGCTGGTGGATCTGGGCTATGTCCGCAAACTGAACATCCATGGAGCACCCTACGACTTCCGTAAAGCGCCGAGTGAGTGCATCTTATTCACGTGTGAAAATATATTATCCCTAACAGATAGTCTTTATACATTAGTCAAAAGTTATGGGCTCGAATGTGCAAGTCTCAAAAACATTTTTGGAAAATCCAATTTTTACCTCTTTAATAATATATCATAAATTTGCTTAAACTTAGACTGTTGTCGGTGAGCTTTTATTAAATATAATAATAATATTTATAACTACCATTTCAGATGAGAACAAACAATTTTTTATCGATCTCAAGCAACTAGTGGAGGACAGCTACGAGGCCAATAATCAGACAGCTGTCACCTTTATCACCCACAGCATGGGCAGTCCCATGACCCTCGTGTTCCTGCAGCAGCAGACCGTCCAGTGGAAGGCCAAATACGTAAAGCGACAGATCAGCCTCGCCGGAGCTTGGGCTGGCAGCTTTAAGGCGGTGAAGGTTTTTGCCATGGGCGACGATCTCGACTCCTTTGCTCTGAGTGCCAATATACTCAAGGCCGAGCAGATAACACATCCATCCACTGCTTGGCTTCTGCCATCGCCGTTGTTTTGGAAACCATCAGAGGTTTTGGCCATGACCCCAAGCAGAAACTATACGATGGCACAGCTCAAGGAGTTCTTCAACGACATAGACTACATGACGGGCTGGGAAATGCGAAAGGATACGATTCGATACAGCCAAAACTTCAGTCCACCCGATGTGGAGTTGCATTGCCTGTATGGCGATGGCTTAGACACGGTAGAGAGGTAAGCTTAGATATTTTTGTGGAAAAGAAACCGAACCAACGCTAATTTTAACCAACAGGTTGCAGTACAAAAAGTCGAATATTGCTGGAGAAACGCCAAAGCTTATTATGGGCCTGGGCGATGGCACTGTGAACCAGCGTTCTTTACGAGCCTGTCAGTATTGGTCGGGCTATTCCAGCTCCCCGATAAACACACTGGCCCTGCAGGGCGTGGACCACATGCATATCTTGTCTAATCCAGATGTCCTCAAATATGTTCGCACTGTCATGCAGCAGCCGTAATCTCTAGTGTCCTGTTTTATTAGGTTAAGAGTTTCTTGATTTAAAAATCCCATGCGGTATCTGTAAAATTTAAATACAACAACAATGCCAATTTTAATGTTAAATAAATGTAATTCGTTAAGTAGCACAAACCTAAAGGAGTAGAACCTCGCTTTGCATTTTCTTTAATTTTTCTTTATTGTTATCTTATTGATTTATGCTTATAAGATGAGATATCGAATCACGTGTGTCAATGTCAATGCATAACGCTTTTTATTACTCAATAGTGTTTCATTTTCCTCTTGGTTTTATTCGTTTTTATTGTTTTCCATTTTCATTTTTTCATTTAATAAATTGTTTATATGTATTTTACAAAGCGTTTACTTAGATGTATTCCATTTTAATTATACCGAATAATTTGTTAATTATTGCACTAATATTTAATTTCATTCACTTTCCTCCCGCCTCCACTTTGCTAATTTATTGTAGTTGACATTGTTCATTACTTTTGGTATAATTTTCCATTTAAAGTATGCTCTCGCTTATGTACTCCGATATCTGGATAGATATAGAAAAAAGTGTTTTTTCGGTTGCAATTAGGATAAAACTAAAGTTGTCGAATGATTCTAGTGTTTTCGATAAAATCAAGAAATATATATTTACAAATTGTTTGCTCATACAAAAATCGCTGTCGTAGGCTTAATTTGTGGACATTTTCGCTATAGTTTTTTGCTGGCTGCGGGTCATGTTTTCGGTTTTTCGCTTTTTGAGCTTACAAAGCATATTTAATTTGTAATTCGTTTAGGTGAGCGATTTGTGCGGGTGTTGTTTATTTACTTGTTAGCTAAATATATACATACATGTTTATATATTTAGTATATATTTGATTTTATGTTGCTGCATGTGGGTGTGTGTCTGTGTGGGAGTGAGTGTTTGAGTGTGTGTGTGTTGAAAATTGGACTTAAAGAACGATTTTTTTCCTGTTTTTGTCAGTATTTGATTTTTGTTTTTTACTTTTCTGCTTCTGCGGGCTTGTCCCTTTGTTCAACAAAATTTGTGCTCTCGTTCCATAGTTGCAGTTAGGGTTTTACATATATAATGTACGGATATTATATATATATATATATAACTATAATATGACCTTTATTTTCCTTGACTCAAATCAAAGTGATTCTGAAATCGATACCCCAAAAAGTCCGCCACATTCTGCGTGTTCCGTTTCAAAGAGTTTTACGTTTAGTATAAAAAATCATTTTATCGAAAGTATAAAAATCGTATTTAGCCATAGTGTCTCTTCTAGATCTTGTATCTATTTTGGTTTCGTTACGTTTTTTCATCTTTATTAAATCTTTGTTTTGTTTCGTTTTCTTAGCAAAAGCGGGTGTATCTTCTTCAAGCAGGTATTCGAATGTTACTTGGCAGGATTATTATTTTCCATAGTATATATATATTTTTGTTAAATAGTTTTATAAAAGCTTAGTGTTCGAGTCGTATCGAATGTGTGTGTTGTGTGGTGTTGTGGCGTGGTGTGTGTTTTTGTATGTGGTTTTAGGGTGTTTTAGGCCTTTTTTCTGTTCTGTTCTGTTATTTTATTAGTTGCCTTGTTTGTTTGGTTTTACAGCTAATATGCTCTGTTATTGTATTATCTGATGCAATATATAGAACTCACATTAGGCGACATTGACGACTTAGCGGACTAGTTAATTAATTACTGGCTGCTCAATAGGTATCTACAATGGAATCCGTTACCAATGGGAATGATATCAAAAATGATTATTGTTAAATACATTTTGTAGTACGTTCTTTTGTTTTTCCTTTTCGGTAATTAAATTAATTAAAGCTTTTTCGTGTGTTATTACTCGTGTCGGTAATATTTCCGCCTATCATCCTCCTTGGGTAACGCATAACTGTCTGAATCAAAACCAGTCAACAAATCAAGTGATTGTAAATGAAGTCCTATGTACAATTGAATATTTTCTACTTACTCGCTTAGTTACACTTAGTATTCATTTCAATCTGATCGTATTGAGTTCATGGGGGTTCTTTAACTAGGCTCCTACAATGCGTTCGCTATTCAGATTTATCAATGTCGTTAATACACAATTGAATTGCCCTTGAATATTCAATATTGCTAATAACAGTTCCCTCCGGAGTCCGGACCCCTCTGGATCGGATCTATATATATAAAGAGATATATATATATATAATCCTGCCGCCGGAAGGAACCCTGATTGGTGCTTCGGCTGGCCGAGACTACGATTATTGCATAACAACTGGCCACTGACGCTTCCGGTTATCCTTCTTAGAATTTAGCTAGCTTTCCTTGGGTTTTGCTCACTGGCATTTGCGCTACTCATTTTAATTTGATTAAATATCTATGGCTAGGTTAAGGTAATAATTCTTTCCTCTGTGGCTCTAATTTATCCAAATCATCATCACATATCAAAAAGTTTACAAAAATTTCACTTTAGCTACGGTTTTCTTTCGCCATTTTTTTTTTTAGCGATTACGTTAATGTTTATTAAATTTCGTGCGCTTTGAATAAAACATACAACAATAGGTAATTCTCTAACGCTATTAGCCCGTTTGATAACAACTTATTTGTTATGCCGTTCGTTAATGATTAACATAATCAACGTGTTGATATATATTTTAAATAAATTAGTTCGCTTCGCTCGTGATTTACAGACATTTGCATGTTGCTCAGCGCATTATTGACTAACATTGGTTACCATTCTTGGGCTACTTTTTTCTTTTTAGTGTACGTGTGGGCATGTAAAAGGCATTTGTTTGGTTTTCATTTGTTGTGGTGATTCTCCCATTCAGATTGCACTTTCTGTTGGAAGAACTCAGCTGAAGATCCTGAAACCAGACGTGTCTCAGTTCATTGTTGAGCAGCGGAAATTTGTTGTTGGTGAAATAAATTCAGTTTTAAGATGGTGTTCCAATTGCGTATATATTTATTTTCCGATAAACCAAAGCGTGATCTCGAGGCTTATTCAAGTTAGTGATATATTTGATGTATTTTACTTGCATATGTTCTCAACAAAATTGACAAATCCGAACTGATTTAAAAACTAATATTGCTCTTGGTTGGTTTAAGAGTTGGATCGTTCCGTATTTGGTTTGCTTGTATAGCCAGTATCTCTTGTGCTCTAACAACAATTCCTTAAAAGCCTAAACTTTCGAAACGTAAAATCAGTGGCTTAAATGATAGGTCAACAGAATAGTGTCTTATTGATGTAACAATTGCTTTTGTCTTTTGGTTTCGATCTGTTTTGGGGATCGGTGAACCCGATACGATACGCGCACGCTGATAATTTCCTAAGTTGAATGCTATATTTATAGACAGACAAACGGACTTGGTAAAGCGAGAGGAATCTAGAATCTAAAAACAAAAGTGCCGGCGTGCGCGCCTTTCATCTATTTGATCTGACCACTATCAACATGATTCTCCATTACTTTATTTATCAACTTACTATACAAGCTCTCGCGTCCCCTGCCCTCGTCCTTGACTACTTTTTCAATAATTTTTAACAATATTTTCTTCTGTTGAAACATTTTTGAATACAACTTTAGGCCTAAGTTGATTTCAGCTTAAGTAAATGCTTAGCAGAGAATTTAGCCAACTACCAAAAAAAAGCATCTCAAAAAGCCAGAAATGTGTTAAATGTTTCAATGGGAATAAGTAGGCTGGCAGCTATCTATGTTTTCTGCTAAACATTTATCAACTCTCAAGTATTTATACAAATTTCCAAATCATTTACTTTGGTGTATTGCAAAAATGTGCGAATGTCTGTGTGGCTGGTGTGTGTATAAAAAATTGTTTACTAACATTTCTTGTTTACGTTTAAGCATATATAAATTGTACAATAATGAACTTCCTTCGCATGATTAGCGATTCGTGATTCGTGTATCGACTGTCGATCGAAATGGAATCTCTTGTTGATATCGCAAATGAGAACAGCGACCAAAATAACAGGGATGCAAACCGTTTCTGTGGTTCGGTTTACTTGGTTCTTGGTTTATGGTAATAGTTTTTTAATTAAATGAATTATTCCAATTTAAGAGGAACAGAATTAGTTCGAATGAGGGTGCCCACGAGTAAAATTCAAAATAGAAAATGAAATGTACAATAAGAACTCAACAACTATTGTTTAACATATTCAGGAATGTCTGGAGTCTCGCAACTTTGTATTTAAATTTTAGTTTGGGCCACTGATCGGAATTTTAAAGGATGAAAATTAATTGTAGTATAAAAACTCCAGTATTTCATTTATGATATTAAAATTAATACAAAAAATTTAAGTGCACAAAAGGATAAACCACTGCACAGAACCATGTCTATAAACTCCGAACCCATTTTCCCTCGGCTTGCATCCCTGAAGTAAGTTAGCCAGGCACATGTTGGATCTTCGAGTGGACTGCCACGCCCAGTGTCAGACGTCCTTGGGCGGCTGGGCGGCGGCGGATGAGGAGGCCGAGGAGCTCTTCTGCTGCTGCCTCCTCTCCCGCCAGCGATCGATGGGCGTGTAGCAGCACCGGAAGAAGGGAGGAGCCCTCGTCGAGTTGGAGGAGCTACTCCCGCTGCAGTTGCTCATCTTGGCCAGCGACTCGGCGGTGAGCTCCGTCTGCACCCCACTGGTGGTCAGCCGGGTCTCCGCCTGATACTCGAACTGGTACCGCGGCGGCGGTTGGCCAGGATGACCAGGATGCCCGGGATACCTGGTTACCAGTGGAGATGGCGGTGCGCCAGCCTTGCAGATGACACTGGGCGGCTCCATCTCGTGCAGCTCGAAGCTGTTCGAGCTGCTGTTGGTCGAGGGCCGGAACTCGTGGGAGCTGCTCTCGACCATGGCAGTGCGGTAGGTGGCGGCAAAGTAGTTTGTCTCCAGGTAGTGGCAGGACTCGAACAGGTAGTCGTCGAACTGGTGCTGCGGCAGGATCAAGGAGCTATCGCCCAAAGAGGAGGAGGCGAACCGCGGCCCCAGTCGATGTGACTGCGTGGAGGGCGAGGCTGGCGGTGCCGGCGATGGTGGCGGCATCATGGTCGCCAACGAACTGGAGGCCATCGGCGGCCGCTGACCTCTTTGCTTCATATCAACAATTTCTATTTCTTCTATATCACTAAAACTATTCAACTGTTTCAACAAATAATGCACATCATTTCGTTTCGTTTGATTATCCTCGTCGTGGTGGGGATGATCATCTTCGTCGTCGTCGTCGTCGTGGTGTTGGGGATTCCCCGGATCCAACTGTTGCTCTTCCGTCGCCGTTGCTGGAGTTTTGGGTGCTTGAAGTGTTAATGGTGTGCTGTTGGCAACGGCGCCCGTTCCACGATCCAATCTGGGGTTCCCCTGGAGGCTACTGATCTGCTTGGTCGCATCATGTTGCTGGTGTTGCAGCTGCTGATGTTGCTGCTGCTGCTGGCGACCCATTTCTGCAAGAAAAAAGTTTTAGATGATAAGAAGAAATAACCAATGTGTATCCCAGTCAAATATGATTTAAACGTGATAACCATTTAATTAAATACTCAACAATTGATTTTAAAAGTCTGTCTTGACGTTGTTCGAAATTAATAAGAGAAACGATTATGACTACACCGTTAAACGTGGTTTAAATTGATAATAATTTTGTTAAATGTTAAACAATCTATAATCGTATATAAAATATGAAAATATATGAATAACAAAGTACCGGAATACAAGAAGAATATCTTTATGTCTCAATAATAAATGAATAAATATTACCGAACCTACCGATTGGCTGTTCCAATCTAGACTGTTGCTGGTGTTGCTGCAACTGCTGCTGTTGGGTCACCAACTCCGGATAGGCCAGGTTGAAGCGCTGCTGCAAGGTGGCGCTACTCAACTTGGGCAGACTGGTGGCATAATCCACTGGCCGCTCCAGTGTGGAGTCAATGATGCGATTGAATTTAGCTAATGCACTGCTCGCTGCTGATGAACTGGATGTGGTGGTTGTGACCTTAGCATTAAGTTGTTCATTGTTAAGAGGCACTGTTGTGACGGTTTCTAGGTCCTCGTCCTCGTCGACATCCTCGTCCACATCATCGATATCGACGCCATCGCGCAGCGTTTCCTGCACGTTCAGATTGAGATTGAGGTGCAGCTGCTGGCGGAGCAGCAGGCGGCCGGTCTTCGTCTCCACGAATCCGGGTATATTGGGTGGCGCCAACGCGTCCTGCTGACCGCCGCCACCCAATCCCCCGCGTCCGGCGGCAATCACCGCCGCCGCCCGCTGCTGGGCCGTCGCCTTAGCCAAGTTCTTCTGCAGTATCAGCCGCCTCGACGAAATGATGGCATTATTGTCGCTCCCCGCGATTACCGGCTGTCGCGGGTGGAGCGAGGCCGCCCCTAACTGGACGTGCTGGCGATCGGCGAGACGGGTGACAGCGGACTGCGGGCCTGTTCGCGCGGACATCCGGTCAGCGTGATCACCAGCTTCCTGGATCCGGCCTGGTCGCGGTGCTCGCACAGCCAGACGCCCTGCCACGTGCCCAGCGACAGTTTGCCATCGGTTATCGGGATTGTCAGGGAGCTGCCCAGGAAGCAGGCCTTCACGTGCGCGGGCTGCAAGGATATTTAATTGGTTAATTAATTTTATCTAAGTCGGCCTATTCACACAGGCTGAACTTTAATAAGAGCCTTTTAAATACTAAAAATCCCTACAGAGAAATCATATGAATCGGTGATTGATGATTAATCAAAATCAGTAAATTATAAATGGTTTGTTATTCAAAAGTCTTAATAGATAATTTATAAATAAAGTGCTACCAGTCAAATATTTTTTATTTTAGTTAAAGTTCCAAATCTGACTAAGCTATAACGCTTAAATTTGTATAATTAAGTTCAACAAATTTAAAAACGTTCTATTATAGGTCAATGGAAGTTTTAAAATGTTGCAAATATTTCTCCAATAAAAATTTTATTTAATAAACAGTAAAATAAATGTTTCCCTAAACCTGCTGCTATTATCACTAAGCAAATGATTATAGAAATTTTTGTAAGGTGAGGTTTATAAACCTAATGGAAAAAAGACATTGTCTTGTAAAAAATATACAGTCAATTCAGAGAGGACCTCGAACCACCCAAATACTCACCATATCGTCGGGTCCCTCGCACGAATGCCTGTAGGGCAAGCCTTCGGGAACTATTTTATTCAACATCATCTCCATGTCGTCTCTGCAAGGCAATCGATCAGATTGGATACATTGTCTATATGGCCATCTACTCACCTGACGTCTGGATCCCAGCTTTCGTTTAACGCTAAACTCGCCGAGGTGTGAAGAACTGAAAGCAAAACAAGTGCACATACAATGCCAATTAGTTGTCGGTGGGATTAATAATAATCTTTATAATGATTAGCCCCCCGGTTATTAGACCATCACGACGAGGCGTTGGCTGGGGAGCTGGAGCCCCATGCATTTCCAATTGAGTTGTAACGCTAATTAGTCAAAATGTATTGCCCGAGGCCCACACTCGTCGTGCTTGATAACATAACGTAAATCCATCGCAAGTTACATATATGACAAGACATGATATGATGTGGCCAATTTAACTGGGGAGGATTTTCAAACCACTTGAGTGGAAACGGTTATTAATTTTGAATTATGTACACAACTGTGAGGAATACAAATATTAAATCTTTGGATCTTAATTGACCAAAAAGCTCAAAACATCTTGTAAAATAGTGTTAAGAGTAATGGCTTATAATTATTGGTTAATTTCATGTTTAGATTTAAATGCCTAAGTCTTGCCCTCTGCAACTTTCGATTTTATAATAAAGTTTTATTGGGACTATATATAAATTATATCTTTTAAACTATATATATTTGTTTTCTTTAGCGCAAAAGCTAGAACATTTCTATTAAGATCAAATTTAAAAAGGTTTAAATATTTTTCTGATTTTACAATAAGCAGTACAAAATCAGATAATATTAGTATGCTGAAGATATGGCTTTAATTTTAATAATATATTTTATTGAGTTATTTCATTGTCAAGCCAAAGAAAAATGCAACTAAAATATCAATAAATCAGATTAATATAAATTATAACTGTCTCGTTATGGGTATAATTGCTATTTATCTGAGTTAGCTCTCACATCAATTACATTAAAATATTAATCTGTTTTTGTAAATGACAACCAATAATGTTAAGCTATAAAAGATAATACACTGATAATTCTTGATTTATTGAATTGCGTGTTTTAATTTAGTAATAATTCTTCTTCAAATAAGAATTGAGCTTTTGTTTTTTGAATTTCACCTTATGGATTCTAGACAAACGATCTCGGCTTATTTTTGTCACAATTTTGTCTCGATATGGGATACTTTTTTAAATGTTTTTTCCCTGTGAACAATCAAACACAAACAGCGGGTTTTTCACACAGAAACAGATTTGTTTTGCCAGTTCAAATGAAATTGTTTGACAAATTTATGAGATGACCCGACACAAAAACACGAGCATGTTTGGAGTTGAAAATTAAACAATAATTGCCTACATTTTCAGCGGCTTGCAATTGGCAAACAGCCAACGCTGAAAATGTCAAGCGATTCAATGAAAGCCGACTAAGAATTGAATATTTTACACCAAATGAATTTAGTTTCAATAATACATAGATGGAAAATGTAAATACAAATAGCCGGCCAACACGAGACACACTTGAATTTGCACACTAATTGCGTATTCATGAATAAAAGAGAATGCTGCTGGGAGCTGGAGAAGCTGAGCGAAAATTAGTTTATTATCAAATCCCTGAGATGTAATTTTCCAGGCCCCGAGCACAAACTTAAAATGTGAATATAGACACGCATGTCCAAGTTCCGATTTCAGGTTGGTGCGGTGGGAAACTCACGACCCAGACCCAATTTCTTTCTAAATAATTTCACAGGCGATTATGTCATGTTGAACATGTGTAAATGGCATCAGGAATTTAAATATTACCCATGGAGAAATCTGGGCGTAGTGGTTGGACTTTCGGACAATGCAAATGAAAATGAAACCAAAGTGACATTTGACGCGGGAAGGGACACAGCAAATTTGCAAATTGATTGCAGGATGGGATTTGATTGGGAACGAGAGTGGAAATAGGACGAGGGCGTCGGCGAGGACCTGAAAACATGGCACAATTCCAACACCATCCCTCCTGCATACTGAAAAATGATCACTAATTGTGCCATGGGGGTGTCAAAGAAATCAATTCCAACTGAATTCCAACCGAAAACCAATTCAGATAAGTTTTGTCAAGGATTTTCCAAGCTCTTAACAAGTTTACTGAAAATCTACTTTTAATGAAATGAATATTTGATATACTTATCTAAATTATTTATGAGATATTTTTTGGGATTTTTGATCAATCCCATATCAATCCTATATTACAGTGTATTTGGTATCATAATATTCTTTAAAATTAAATGAAACTAGACAGGTTTCAGCGACGAAAAGATAATACAGAGTGGAAAGACTTTAATACACTTGAAAAAAGGCATTAAACCTCAATCTTTACTTAAAAAATTATTGTTCATAAAAGTTTAAGATTTTTACTGATAAGTATTCTAAGAGTGCCCTCAACCATCGTAATTATACCCGTTACTCGTAGAGTAAAAGGGTATATTGTATTCGTGCAAAAGTATGTAACAGGTAGAAGGAAGCGTTTCCGACCCTATAAAGTATATATATTCTTGTTCAGGATCACTAGCCGAGTCGATCTAGCCATGTCCGTCTGTCCGTCTGTCTGTCCGTCTGTCCGTCTGTCCGTCTGTCCGTCTGTCTGTCCGTCTGTCTGTCCGTATGAACGCTGAGATCTCGGAAACTATAAAAGCTAGAAGATTGGCATTTTGCATGCAGATTCTAGGAGTTCCTACGCAGCGCAAGTTTGTTTCAAAAAGGTGCCACGCCCCCTTTAACGCCCACAATCGCTTAAATACGATTTTAAAAATTTAAATATTTCGGAAAAGTAAAAATGCAGTTTTATTTTGTTTATCAATACCTATCGAAATGTAGAAGAAATTTTTCAAATCGGACCATTCGTTAAAAAGTTATGCGTGATCAAAGTTTCTATCTCCATCTCCCTCGCACTCCCTTTACCTGAGTAACGGGTATCTGATAGTCGGGGCACCCGACTATAGCGTTCTCTCTTGTTTTAAATATGATAATGGTGTAAACATAATTGTGCGTGTCTGCGAAGCGACTTTTTTGAGTGGCATTTGGAGTTGTCCCTGGCTGTGTCGCTCGCATTCCGCGCACATTTATTCCGTGTCCCCTACTTTTTAGTCCGCCCAACTGGCGCATCCGCCTGGAATACTCTCGACTGACACTTTTTCCATTGCACCACACACAAATGGAACGCGGGCAGGAGGCGTAAAAAGGCTCATCCAGAGCGTTAAGCTGGTGGCCAAGCGGAGGACGCCTCTAATATGATTTAGCCATGGGCTTTGTGGTCTCCAACAGGGTAAAGGGAAGGCGGGGTTCGGGGGGTTCGGGTTCTATGTTTGCCTATGGCAGCCATTGCCAAAGAGCCCAGGGCGCTAATAAACGTTTATGCGCTGACAGAAACGTGTTAGGGAATCATACATTTATACTTATCATACCAAAATTTAAATAAAATACAAAAAATGAAAAAGTACCAAACAGAAATTTAGTATGAACTAAGATCTTTATATCAAGAAGTTAAAGAGATATGCCAATTTATACATACAAATTCAATAGTTACTTTTGGTGCTTTCATGATTTAATTCTCTTTTCAGAAGAAGAGTAATTGATAAAAATTCTAACACGTAAGAATATGTTAATAATTTCCAGGCTTTTTAATCCATTTTTTATCCCTTTAAATTTAGTTATTTTTCCCATATGTATGGAGATTAAAAAACTATTTTAAGTTTCTAAATTTTTCCCAGTGTAGTACGCATAGTTAAGTAGCAGGTGGCATCGTTTTGGCCGGCTGTTTAGATGTTTAGTTGTCTGTGTGAGTGGGAGTGGCGGGATGGGTGGCATTTGGTCGGGTTTGAGTACATGTAGCTGGCGTTTACAGGCACTACAAAAGTTGCTAATGTTTTTAAAGAGGCCTTTTTATTATACAAAGTCAAACATTCTGACAGCACAAACAAGCTGGGAGCACACACCCGCACATCTGCATATATATAACCGCATCGAGGAGTACCCCAGTGTTTAACAATGGACTCGACACAACTCAACTTGGCTCAGCTCAGCTGGCTGTGTTCATTCATATATTCATGCAAACACGCACTCAGACTCAGATACGCCCGCACAGCAGCGGTCGACGTCCTAGTTCCAAGGATCAACAGGAAAGTCCGGGGAAACTAAAAGCTATGTTCGGGTTGTTATGTACTTTGAAGTAAAAAACCTTTGTTTCAAAACGAACAAGAATAATTTTAAATTGTATATTGAGGTACAACTTTTTTTATTAATTTTTCTTAAAACCAAAATAACGATATTTTCAGCCCTATAACAAAATATGTAGCATACCTACTGGCGTACATTTTAATGCAAATCAATTAAATATTAATTTCTTTAATTCAAATATATAGGAAATATATAGGAAAATTAACCTCCGAATATTTTTTAATATTGTGATCCCATTTTTATCCCAACCACTGTAGGTCTCCGAATAGCACGTGAGTGTGCGGTAGGTGTGGGTATTACATAATGTTGGGCTGAAGGAAATGCTTAAATTCATTAACCTTCTTATTACATAGCCGTTGAGTTTTTCGCTTATCCCGAGACTGCAGGCCAGAAATCAGAGAACACCGCAAGAAATCGGTGGTGTGGCATGTACACACACACACATACACACAGCTCCCGCCATCCTTTTTAGTGTCAGGTGCTGAAGGACCGGAACAGAACGGAATAAAACTAGTTCAAGCACACCCCGATACGATTGGAAAATCGGAAAAGAGGGCCACAGGCCGGACCAAAAACCTTTGGCGTGCTCGTTTTGCATAAATAATATTGATTTATTGGGTAGCGCAGCATTTTGCGGTTCATAAGCGAGCAATTTTAATGCTAAAGGAGCCGAAATGGCAGAATAAAGGAATAAGAATAAAGAATAAACGGAAGCCCAAAAAGTATGACACACACATGGCACGATTTGTTTTCCTTCCCTCTCCATTTTCCCCCGTTTTGTTTTCCCTCGTTCGCAGTTTCCCTGTCGTCACGAAAGCGAAAAGAGAAATGGCCGAGAACGCCCACACAAATATATCCCTAATGTTAAAGGCTCCCAAAACTCCCGACTCCAAGGAAAAGCCCCCCAATTCAACCCCAATTGGTTTCGCTTTCGCTGGCTGTTGATTTATTTCGTGTTGCTCCTCCACAAAAAGGACACTCCGCCGGAGTCCTTTCCCTTGTTTTGTGCTCTGGCTGCTTTTTCAGCTTGGCTGAAAAATATGCTCGGGTTATAAATTGAAGTTGAGCCATTTATATGATCTTGCGATTATGCAGCAAATTGCTGTCGAGGACGGTCCTCCCACCACTAATATCCTTTATCCTCCAGGCTCCATTGAGTCGGTCAAAGCAGCCTTGAACAGATCCTGCGACATCTTAAAGTGTATGCTTTAATGATGTCCTTTCCTACTAAACATGGATGAATGATAGGAATAAAAGCACTATACTTAAGGGTTCACTAGTTCTAATGCTTTTCTCTTAGGAAATCATGAATTATAAGAGATATATGGGAAAATTTTAAAAATCGTTACAGCTATATCTTTGAAACAGTTTTTTAACAAACCCAATATTGGCCACCAATTCAAAAGAGTTTGAATTGAACTATTGAAATAAATGATGTATCAAATCCTTTTGACTTTTTGGCCAACCTCTCGAAATACAAGTTAATTAGAATAAAGTCCGGCCCATTTCTATCAACTTCGACTTCCTTCGAATGTAACCTTTAAATGTGGGATTAAGTAAGAGCCCAAACAAATCATCAACTGCCCCCCAGGCAATTAGGTTTGCTCAACACACACATACATTTATATATATACATATATATAAATATATACACCGCTTTGGTGATTCCGAGGTCCCCTTTATATTGGGGTTACGGAAACCCCCAATGGGGCATTCTGTGGTCAGTAGGGTTCGGTTCTATAAGCGGACGACCTTTCTGCCGCACATATGAATATTAATAAAAAAAAAGAAGAGAACCAAGTCATAGAGGGAAAATATTTACCTGGCTCAGGTGGAAAAGTCGAAACCCGGGTGGATATATCATTTTTTAGCGTTTCCCTGCATTCCATTACTTTTTGTTGTGTTTAACAAGTTACCTTTACATTTGGCTTATATTTTTGTATATTTGTGATTTGTGTGTCCTCTTGGCCACTTTTCCCCATCTCCGCGCTGTTGTTTCTGCTTTTCCCCATAGAAACAAAAGGGGGAGGGGCGGCGCAAAAAGGGGGGCTATTGAGGTCAATAGTAAAAGACAACAACATATGGCAAGGTTGCTTTGAAATTATTTTTTCCTTTTTTTTTCTCTCGAAATTAACTTTTTTGTTGCTTCTCCTTCGGATAGAAAAGATGGAAATGGGGAGAGGGTAGTATCCTTTCATTTGCTTGCATTTATTTACTAATTTTTTTTTCTGTTGCTTTATTGCATTGAAAGGGGGGCGAAGGGGGTTCCCTTGGTAAAGTGTGTCTAATTAGGAAGTCCTTTTAAGAAAATCAATAAACATGTCTTGACCTCAATTAGATTCCGCTTACAGTTCACAAAACAATACACGTACAGTGAGCACCCCAGACAACAAACACGCACACAACATGGGTGGCGAAAAGGGGGTTGGCCAGGGGCAAGGGGCAGGGACACACGTGCTTTTGATTTGGCAAAAAAATAAAGGAGAGAACAAGAGCGAGCGAGAACGAAGGTTCGTAATAATAAAGACTTGCCTGCAATGTGCTGGCTAAGACGATTTGTGTGGGGCACACAACAAAAAAATTGGTAACAGCTAAAAGCAAAAACACAAAAAATCATAAATTTAACTATGTTCTTTTGGTTCCTTAACTGGCTTTCAAACCATATCAAATAAACTAACACTTAAAATATTGTCAAAAAGTTTTTACGGTGTGGATTAAAGAGTGCTTTAAAATCTATATAGATTGTTTTAGTTGTCAAGAACAAATCTATCTAATCTTTTCGTCATAAATCTTTAAATAGCTTGTATTAAAACAACTTAAAATGATAATAATTCTTTGAGATTTCTTCCTCACAACAAATTATCGAATAAAATTTGGAATACAAAATGTTAATTTATTCTTTATAAACGATACAAAATATACTTAGTACATTTGACTAAAGGTGTGCCTAACTCAAATGAGTATTGAATGTACTGAACGTGTAAAGATAAAATAAAAGGACAAAGCTCCCTTAAGTCTTATAAAATTGAAAAAATAATATTTCTTTCTGTGCATTAAGGGGCTGGCGGGGAAGTACAAATGCCGGGGGGTGCTCAAGAAAGGGGGGCTGGAAAAGTTCGCCTCGAGCATTCACACGCCATAGCCACAGACCATGACATGCAGACATGAGCGACGACTGCGACTAAGACGACGATTGCTTTTCACTTTAGTCAGGCCAACTCCCAGCTAACCCCCCTTCCCCATCAGCCCCCCCTCCCCACAACTGGCGCTTTATGATACGATTTTATTTATTTGCCCGGGACAGAGCGGGACGGGAAGAGAGAGAGAGAGAGAGGGAGACGGAAAGCCGCAGGATGGAGGAGCGCGTCCTGGCATTGTAATGCGAACTGTCAACAAGAAGCTGCCTCCAAGGCAGCCAACTACGGAGGTTGTTTCTCCGTTTGCACTGCCTTCTCATTGCCTGAGTATCCTACTCGTCTACACTGAGAAAAATACAGTTTAATTATAATTTATAAAGGCGTTATCAAACCACATTTGTTTACCATACAAAATTAAAAAACCTTAAAGTTCTTATAAATGTTAAAATTATAAAATGTTATTTAAAAAATTTTAAGTTCTTACAAATGTTAAAATTATAAAATGTTATTTAAAAAATTTTTTTTGGTAGAAATACAAAAGTCCGGAATATATGAAAAGTTAGTTAAAAACTTATTTGTAAGAATTTGTTCCTTAAAATGGAATTCTAATTAAAAAAAATTGGAGTTATTTTGTTGTAATTAAATTACTAATCCTTGTTAAATATTTTAAAATGTTGCTTCTACAGTCAGTTAGAAAATGTTAAGTTTTTTCCAGTGTGTCTGCTGTTAGAAAGCGGGGATTCCACACGGGAATTAGTGTGCAAGGAGCAGCAGTGGCAGCGCACAAAAAGAAATACTTTGAGGAACTGCAATCCGGAGATTATTTCGAATGCATTCCGAGGAGAGGAATATAAAACTTAAATAGGGAATCAAATCGCATGGCGTGTGATATGTGTGGACGTCCTGTCAAGCGGCATATTGCACTTAAGGATCTCAGCTTGAAAATGCAACTATTAATAAAACATATAAAAATGCCTTTCACTTTGACTTTGACAATTTACTTTGTTGCACTTTAGCTAATAACAAAAATCCTAGAAAACTTATTTAATTTTAAATGACAACTATTTTTTAAAAGAACTCTAGATAAAACCATCATTTACGGGGTCACATCTCAATTCGGAGTTCCCTCAAAAGTCCAAGCAATTATCTCCGCTTTAAATTTGGAGTACTCCACGCAAATGTGGGTCATCGTCACAGCCACACGTTTGGGTCACACAAAAGTCAGACTATTTTCGGATGTCAATCGCAATTTTTGGGGCTCCACCAAAAGGCACAAAGGAGTGACCAGGCCAAGTCAGTCAGTTTATCTGTATAGTTTAACCCAGTTACTGGGGGCTAATACAAATGAGCAGGGGCAGCAGCCCCTTCAAATCCTGCAAATCCTGTAAGTTTTGGCTGCTCCTCTGCTGAATCCAACGACAATTTGTGCTGATTTGGTATGCAAGTTCTACATTTCGCTGTTTGTCCAACTGAACTTTCAACTAAATGCAAACGCCTTGGCCATAGCAAGATTCCCCCGGAGAAATACAATCCCCACAAAGAAAATGTAATGCCAGGAAACTTTTCCCAATGCCTGAGTTTGAATACCCTAATGGATGGCTTTTCCTGATTGAGTACGTAGTATGCACATTATTTCCAGGCCAATCTACTGTTTAGTCGAGAGGGGTCTTCGAAGTGTATAAATCGGCAGCGATTCAGAATAAGATGGATGCGATGGAAATGAGGGAGTGGCAGCCGAAATAGAAGAGATTTTCCAGCTGTTCCCCACGATTAACTGACATTTGAGCCCTGAATTTTGGATAATCATTTGGGAAGGCGAGCAGAAAGGTGCCGAAGATGTGCTAAATGGCTAAATAATGACACCTATCCGCGAAAAAACAGTATTTGAAAATTGGAACTGAATTTGTGGTACAGCATTTTAGGCATAAGTAGTTATATTAAGCAAAAGGAATTTTAATTTCAATGATATGTTTGTAACGCACTGAAGGCAGATTTTCGATCCTATAAAGTACTTATATTCATTATTATTATTTTACTCTATGTATTACGATTTAAAAATACAGCCTTGGAACGACTGCCAAAAGGAGTAATTATTTTTTTTTTGTAAACATACAACATTGCTTGGTGTCCACACAACATTTGTAATTTTCCACGCTATTGTATGTGGTTTAAACCTTAAAAAAGTCCTGTGGATAGGCCACTTTTATTAATGGAATGCCACTTTGTTACACATCAGATTTAAACTATCCGCTTTGAATCTATTTTTGTTGCTTTCTAGCTTGCCGAATTGTTTAGTTACGCTCTGTGGTCTACTCAACATTTTAAATCTATTAGATTTTGAATGTAAGTTTCATTTTGAATTTCTACTTAGCAAGATGAAGATTACAGCAATAATCCTATTGGCAAATCTTTGCTACTGTGAGTACCTAAAAGCACCTAGTACTACCTGTCATTAATATAACATAACTCACAGCATCAAGTTACAACTTAGCCGAAGAGAATAATGATCTAGTTAACGCGCAACTACAAGATGCTGTTAATAAGTATCGACACTTATCCACTGGAAACCGTGAAATGGCTCAGTGGACAGAAGAACTTTACTATAATATTCGTAAGGGAGAAAACTTTCTTCAACCGAAAATGCAGGCACTGGTTAACTTTAAAGCATATGACAAGAAGCGTCAAAAGTTAGAAGATACAATTACAGAACGCATCAGCAAGGCCAAAACCCTAATTCTCATGAACAAAGGAGGTAAAAGATGTGTAAAGTTTTACCAGTTGCAACAGCACGCACTCGAAGGCGGTTACAAGCTGTCCAATGCTAGAAAGCAAAGCATTATAGCCGAAAATAATTTAGAATGTCCAAAGAAATTAAGTGAGGACTATGATGACTATGACTATAATTTCTTTAACTATTAACTTTTGACCGGCTATGACCACACCTGATTTGCTCAAGAATGGAGCACCCGTTACCCGCTTTTTTTTTGGGATCTTTAGAAATAATTCGTCAATACACGAAAACAAGGTCCATCCTTGTGTGGCGTGTTCAATAAACTTAAAAAAAAATAACTATTATTGGAAATAAAACCAAAGATTTTGTATTAATATATGTGTATCAATACACACAAAACTATTTTCAATGCCAGTCATATAATAGCATCTCGAATCGTTTGGTTTTGCTCCTTTACTTTTTTAGGCTTATATGACTTAGAAAAGTTAGCAAGGGAGTTTAATGCTTCAAAAATTAACCTTTATATATTTTAGCTGGCATAATATATATAGCTGCCATAGCACATTGTCAAAAAATAATAAGTATACTAAATTCCTTGCTTTTCAACTTGAGATATAGATATTTTTACGATTTTAATAATATATTTTTATCTTTAACAAAATCGGATAACTGTTTTATTAAGAGGCCACAGAAAAGATCCGCAAATTTTGTATACTCGTATACAAAAGACTATAGAATATAGATTTCCTTTACCTTTTTTTTTAGGTATAAGGAAATAAAATAAACATTTTAACAACATTCTTTGCAATTTAATAAAAATTTTCGAATTCATAAATTTTGTGAAGATCTCTTAAAATGAGTTGATATTAATTTTTTTTGAAATCGTTGAAAACGAAATTAAATTTGCTACTAAAAATTTAGTTAGATGTGGCAATAAAAACACGACTCACTTTGCATGTGGCATAGTCCCACGGAGAAGTGCGCCAGCTCCGGCATCTGTCGGAGGATCTCCTCGGTGACCAGGTGGACGCCGCGGTGCTGCGGCCTCAGGTTGATCTTGCGCTGAAACCAGGCGGAGCCGATCTGGAGTCCCACGATCGCATTGCCATCGGCGCCGGCTCCGGCGACGGCGCCACCTCCTCCGCGTCCGCCGCCACCCCGGTGATTGGCCGAGGCCATGGTGCTATTGGAGCTGCTGCTCCGGATGTTGCTGTTCCGGCTGACGCTCTGCTTGACCCCGCCTCCACCGCCACCGCCTCCTCCTCCGCCGGCGCTGCCAGCTCCACCGCTGCCGCTGGTCGCTTTCGTTGTGCCGGCGTGTGGATTACTGCTGCTACTGCGACGTCGCTGGCCGCTGCGTCCGCCGCTCCTCTGGTGGCCTGGAGCAGTTCCTGATCCCGCTCCTGCTCCTGCACCCGATCCCGATCCTGCAGCGACAGCAGCAGCGGCGGCGGCGGCGGCAGTCGACGTCGATGGTTTTGTGGACGACGTTGTGGCTTCTCCGGTATCCGGACGCACTCACACCTGGCACACTTTGTACACTTTGCACACCTAACACACTTGGCACACTGGCAGGACTCAAGGACTCGAGGACGAGCACTCGACTCCCACAAGTTGTTGACTTTGCACTGGTTTCACTACGGATTGGCTTTCACTTTTTGGCCCTTCGAACCTTTTAGCCCGTTTAATTTATTCTATGTTATTGCCACTTGTTTGCGTTATCAGCAACTGCAAAATAGAAAAGAGATAGGAAAAAGTTTGTTAGTAATGGAAAACTTTGCCAGCCTTTCCAATTATTTAAATTATTTGTTGAACCACATTTTACCTTAAATTAGGAATGACAAGAAAATATATGAACCATAAACACAATTTTAATAAGAAATGCATTGTATATTAAATAAACACAGTCATTTTGAACCCTGCGACAATAGTCAAAGTAAAACCCTTTCTCAAGCAAATGACCAATTAAATTTAAAAGTTTATTTGCTAGGTCTTTTTTTAATATTCTGATAGTTTTGTATATATAGTAGAACAAAACAAAGAACTTAATGGAGCAGATCTCTTTCCCAAGAAACCTTTTATGGTTGCACACACTCTGACTAATTCGCATAAATCTAATATTAGTGTTTGGGCGGTGTTGTTTCTGTTTGGCTGTGTGTGGATACATCTCAATTAGTAGACGCTACTGGGAGTACGGGGAGCGCCCACAATCAACAAGTTTTTAATTGCCGAGCGCAAACAGCAAACAAGATTGTTATGGTTATCAATATGCCAGAGGTGACCCCACAAAACATGTGCGAAGTAGAGAGTAGGTTGCTCCATATGTTTGAGTATGGACTTTATTTTCACTTCCCTAAATGGTTAGGTTTTTGTGTGCATTTTTAAAAAACTATTTTCATATTAAATTTGGATATTATCTATTATGCATGGGCAGCACTGCGTATGAGTGATTTTGCGCACACTGCGTATGAGTGTTCATTACATTTTAAATAAAAGAATTTGTAAATAATATAGGTCTTCTAGATTATTTAATTATTTTATGTGTGGCTTAACATTTATCTCAAATTAAGGGAATTTAATTAAACATGTTAAAAAAAATAATAAATAAATTATTCTGAATACAACAATTATAACTTCTACTATTCTATATATATTAGTTTTTAGGCAGAAAGCTATACAAAATTTATTTATAGACAAAATAAGCTAAAATATGACAATATTTTTAGTTTAAAAGCAAGCTAGAAAAGAAAATAGGTTTTGTATAATATTAAAGTGAATGTTTACGTTTGAAATTTATATTATTATTGCAATGGATGTATTATTAGAAATTTAATTTTAAAACTGTTTGTAAGCTAATCTTTAAGTCAAAATGTAATCTTTTAAAAGTTGACATATATTTTAAGCTCCTTCAAAGAAACTCCGCAGAAGAAGTCACACGGCAGTCGAAAAGTGGAGTAAAATGTGAGGCGGCATAATGAGCACGTGTCGACCCAAGTGGGCCAAAAGGGGGTGGGGCCAGGGGCGACAAGGACATGGGATTGTTGGCCCGGGAAAGCGTTCGTGCGAATTGGAAACAGCAGCTAGGAAAAGGCACGAGACGGTGCTGGATAGACACCCATTGCAGACACATGGCATCAAGGAAAACGCTGTTTAAGAATCCTTCTTCCTTCACACATACACGCGCAACTCGCAAGTTGAGTGCACTCACACACACATACACACATAACGAAGCAATCGAAATGCATTTGAATCGGGGGAAACGTGGAAAATGGGTGAGGAAAACGGGAGCGAGAACATGGAGATGGAAGCCACAGCTGCTGCAAAAGAAAAACCACGACGAGTGTGAGTGATTTCGGGTGTCGGTATTTGGGTAAGCAGTAAAACACTAAAAAGAAGAAAAGAAAAAAAGAAAGGCTCAGGCACACGGACCCAAAAAAGAGGTATCCCTCACCACACAAAACGATTTACACGACACTAAAGGCGGTTGGGAAAAGGGGAAAAGCTGCCAAATAGAGATGAGCTGCTGGGAAAGGCTAAGGGGTTGCAATATCTGGATTAGGTAGTCTTTCTTCTCAATTTATCCTGAGGAAAAAATCTCTTGTAAAACATTCCTCCTCATATACAATTTATCTCTTTTCGAAAGTATTTTTGTTTTTTATAGTAAAAGGTGCATCGAATTCTTCAAGTAACTATTAAGAGCCGATTTACTATTATATACTAAAATGCATTACGCGATAATTTTGAGTTTTCTAGGTTGATTGTTGTAAAGTATCTTTGTATTTTGCTAAGAACATTTTTACATTGTAAATTTAATTGAAGTTTAATCGTAAATATATCATTTATATTAATTGTAATGCCTCCTTTGTTTAATAAAAGTTCTTAAGTATTGATATATAGTTCAAACTATTAAAAATGAGCTAAGAATATTTTGTTTTTAATCTGAAACCCGTCAAACTTACTAAACATGAATTGTTTTATGAAATAAGCTCATGAAATTGTGTAAAGTTAAGGAATTTGAAAAGCGTGCGCACATCTCTGGAAAACTGAAATGAACTGAGGAACCAAAGGTGTGTCATCAGGGGTGGGGGTAAAGCAACAACTACAACAACTACATCAACAACAACCACAGCAACTACAACAAGTACAGTGGGAAGCGCGTTGAGGCCGCGGCCAGGTTAAGGTACTTTATTCCTTTTACGGGGCCACTGTTCAAATTTGCATATGCTTTAAATATTTAATGTAATTCAAAAAGAGGAGACAACAGCGCCAACAAGAATCTGGCAATTGGACAAAGCCCGGCTCGGGCATAATCCAATTGGACTGGCAAACACACAGCCCGCTCTCTCTCCAGTTGGATTCACAAAAAATAAGCCGAAACAAACCAAAAGAAAACACATGAAATGCTCGCGCTTTTGGCAAAAAATCAATTTTCCATGTGATTGCCAAATGCAATTTTTTTTTGGGGAAAAGTAAAACATGGCAAAAATTGCCCATTTGATCAACACTTTAACGCATTTTTTGCGTTTTTTGTTCTCCTAATTATTGACATAACAAATGTGGTGGAGCTTCCACCACGCTATTTTACACAAATACACGCACACCATGAACATTTTGATGACAGCACAGCACACGCGAAATTCTCTAAAACAAAAAAACAGAGCAACCAAGAAATTGTGGGGAACTTGAAATTAGGCTCGTTTTGTGCCGGGGAAAATCGGGAATCGAATCACGTAAGCATAAAACCTAAATGCACTTAATTACATTTAATTTGCCGAGCCTGCTGCGTTCCCTTTTGTTTTATTTTACGACCGCCTTCAGACCGCATCGAGTGACTTGTGGGGAGAGTAACCTTTATAGAGCCACCGACTTTTGGCGTCGAACACACTGCGCTGTCACTTTGGTTCGACGTCGAGTTGGAACTGAACATATGATTGGATCCCGAGGTGAAATGTGCGAGGCAACGGCAGTAGGTTCAGTCCCCCATAAGCCACGCTTGCGCCAGAAGAGCACAGATGTAGGGGGCCCCCAAAACCAAAATTCACCATCCCGCGCTTTTTAAATTATTTTATACGTAATTTAAAATCCATAGATTAACGAAACTATTAATTTAAATCGGTCTTTTATAAATACCAGAATTTCTTTACCTTTAAAATTATTTTTATTTGTATAGAACCAGATCGCTTTATTTGTAAAAAAAAACAGCTGTTGTTCCAAAATTCCCTATTCTAAATTTATATATCTTTTATCATTTATTGTGAACAGTACTAATGTATCTTATTTTGTATACCTTTCTAATTTATTTTAATAGTTTCAGTAAAAATATGTTTAGCTAACTTAAAATATTTGTCAACTAATCACACGATAGTCACGACGGTGCCATTGGTTCGACGTCAATAGTACTCATACACGTTGCCGATTTAAGTTTTTCAGTCAAACCGCCTCTTTTGGTTTGACCGCTCTCCAAAAAGTCCAAAATGGAGAGAAAATTTCCCAAATCGGGGCGCGCATTTAAATCTTGCTAACGGCTTTTAACCTGCCTTATAAAACTGATAAAACTAAGATACTTCTACAATATTTTAAGAAAGCAATACAAATATTTTAGCTATTTTAAATGGCTCTTTATATTTATAACAATGTATTTTTTTTAAATATTTTTTAATATAATACAATTTGGAGTATATAATTTTTAAATGTGAACCACAAGAAACAAAATGTCTGTCTAGAAAGTTGCCTGTTTCGCCTACTCTATTATAATTTTGTAAAAAACAAAACTTTAGAGCCGTGAAGAATTCAACACACCATCCACGTGAAAATCCAAGGGAAATGGCTCAACAAGTCACCAAACTTGTATTGCAACCTCAAAATGAAAACTCTGAACACTTCGAACCGAGAGAGTTAAAAATAATTGCCTCTCTATTTAAAGATTATGTGGAGTGCTGAGAGTAATGGGGAAAAGTATTAAAGAGGAGCAATAAATGTGGACAGGTCGTAAGTATTAAGTATTAGTAACTTTCATAAATACCTCAGAGATGCTTGGATACCAATTCACTAGCCCACATTAATGTTTAAGAGTTCATATACTTTTAAACAGAAAATTATCCTATCTATTGGATAAATATTCCTTAAACATTATTGCAACACCTTAAAATACGAATTCTAACCGAACACAATGGACAATTTCATTTATTCAGAAATTGTTCAGTACATGCCTTAAAAATCTTAATTTTTATTAAACTACGATAAAACAGTTTATTGTTTAAATTTAAAAATACCCAGTAAAAATAATCGCAAAAGCAGTTGGTATCTACAGGAAGCTGAAGCTTAAATAAAGTTTAGGGAAGATTTGGCTCTTGTCACCTTGAAATCTAAAGTTGTTTTTTAGATTTTTGTAAGTATAAATCATAAAACATAAACAATTAAATTATCTTTATATATGTGTTCATTTATTATTTTGCAACTTTATTTATAAAGCTATTTGAATAAAGCTAAATAAACAATTTTGGGTGGCAGTGTAATTGATAGTATAAATTGAAGTAAATTTTTAAAAATTCAAAGCTAAAATAATATTTATTTATATTTTCTAATGAAAATCATTATAATTGTGGAAAGTGGAGTACCTCAGAACTTGAAAACTTAATTCTAACTCATTTTATGTAAACTAAGGTGTTTCTTACAGCTTAGTTTACTTTTAATCTAAATCTAAAAAAAATATTGAATAAAGAAAATAATGTATAATGTATTCATTGACCAACTATCGAGAAAAGGATTCAATAAAGGGAAGCTTTTTGAGAAACTACATTTTTCGAACAACTGGGGAATACCGTATAGTAATATTTAAAAAAATAATATAGAAATATATTAATCATACATTTCTGTTGTAAAAAGGAATATTTCACGTCAATGATCCATATATTAAGTCTTTAAGATCATCCTAAATGATATCGAAACATTTTCTTAAAAACATCCTCATTATATTTCGTAAAAAATTGTTATGTCAATTTAAAATTCTAATATTATTCTTATAAAATATGTAAAAATTGACATTTTACCTATCTAAATTAAATATTTTGCTTATGTTTATAAAAACTATTTAATAAGGCAATTAAAAAGGTATCTTTTTGTATCCAAAATTATTATTATTATTTGTTTGTTTTTATTTTTGTTGTAAAGCTATAAATAGATTACCAAGGGAAACTATAGTAAGCTTTACGATAATTTTTATGTTTAAAATCAAAATGAAATATTTTTTGGATATTCTGCATATTTAAATGCTCTCTTTTTTAATTTTGTAAAGAAAAATTCCTTTTGTACACTAATGTCAATCGAATATCGATTATTTGGCGGCGATAGGCGTGCAGCGTTTGGCGGTCAAAACAAAAGCGCTCGATTGTGCATTCTATTTACACTGGTTTAGGGTTGAATTTGGATTTGGAATTGGTTTTGGATTCGGAGATGGAGATGGAGGATCTATGTTTGGCGTGTGTGGCTCGAACAAACGAAAAGCGGTGCTTACTTTGCTGATTTGGTGATTATTATTGATTTGTGGATAATATGCGTCTAATTGCAGTTTGCAGTGGCGCTTGCAGGTGCTGAAGAGATCTGGGGGATTCACAGTTCGCAATTCACAGCGTGGGTGGGCGCGTAGTATGCTGGTAAAAGTGCTGATGCTGCTGCTGCTGCTGCCCGGGAATATTGCCAACGCCGGAATCGCCGGAGTCGGAAGCGGAGACGGAGACGGATTCGGAATCGGAGCCGGAGTCGAGATCTCTGGGCATTTTGGGGCCTACGTTTTTGCCTTATTTTTGTGGCAACAGAATGGCAACAAAAACAAGAACTACGAATCGGCTCTAAATATAACGTCTGTCGTTACACTCGTTACTCGTTTTGTTTTTTTTTTCTTCTTTTTTTATGTGGCCAATTCACAGAATGTACATTTTTTACACCTTTCACACACACCCACGCACTTTACGGTCACGCTCGCACATTTTGGCCCGATTTTCGCACACAGCGTTTTGTTTTTGTCACCGCAAATGATTTTCTTTTTTTTCTCTCCTTATTTTCCCCGACTTTATAGAGGTGTATGCATATGCATATATATATCTATATATATATATATATGGGTTAGCTGGGGGCTTTTACTCGGCCCTCCTTGATTTTCGCTCAACAGATTTGTGATTTGGGAATTTTTTCAGCTGCAAATGGGTGACTCCCATTCGGAGCCACATGGCCACATTTTTTGCATGGGGCATTTTTCACAGCTCTACACACTCCTTCCTCGAATGGGGCGTGTCGGGGTTGTCGGGGTTTTCGGGGGCTACGGTTACGGGCCCAATTCTTATGGCCTTTTCGCCTTGTCTCTGCCTCGTTTTTCAATAAAACTTCATGGCCCTATTACATATGTACTCCGCACACACTGGCACACACACACACACACTCTCACAAACAGGCCCGTGCCCGATTCAATTCGATTCGATTTCGATTCGATCCGAGGATAATACTATGGCGAGGATAATACTATATACGCTGCCATCCGTTTCAGTATCTCCTCTATTCGATTTTCCCCCAATTTTCCTCTGCTTGGGTTGGCTGCCTTCTGCTTTTTTCCAGCAACTATTTTCTAGATTTTCTCTGCATGCCTTTTCTGCGACGAGCGCCACCGATGTGCCACCGAACGAGAGCCTGAACTGAAACTGATTCGGGGATAGCACATATTTTGTTGAATGAGTAGGTGAATGAGTGCTGCCCCACTCGTTTGGGTAACGGGAATGGGTCCTGCGCATGCCCCAAGAAAAACCAGCGAGTGCTTCTTGGGGCACCATTGTGAATGATTTGGGTACTGCCACCTGGGAGTTCGTCCTGCCAGGTGGCGCCCCTATTCGATAGGCAATTAACGGTTTTTTGAAATTACCATTCATTTTTCTAAGAATTATAAAGAACATTATTTTCAAAATTACAATTTTAAAAATATATAATTTGTAAAGTTTAAAGTTTTCGTTAGCGTCCTTTATTGTATAGAATAGTTATGCTGAGCAGCCGCCAAAAAATATGCAATGCTTTACTACAAACTCTACAATTTATGGTAACCAATTGCTTTTATTACAAGCCATAAATGTTGCCGTACCCAATTATTATCTGTTCTTAATAAATTAACGTGTTATGTTCCAATATTAAGAAAAAATTATTTGTTAGATTTACTAATGTAGTTCATTAGTAACAAGGGGCTTTCTATTAGGAAATATTAAAATTACTCTGTTGGTATACATAAACTTAGTTGGAGTTTTGATCATCTATAAATATTGGTTATTTTAATAAATGGATATTTCAAATTATTGGTTCTCAAAAATCATTGTGTTAAACAATTACAAAACTGAATTTATTACAAAAAAGTGCTTATAACTGGACTAGTTTTTAAAGCCCACTTTATTTCAATCAACTCGAGTAATTGCAATCACAAAATTCCCGACGCCAACCCCAAAATGTCACAGTCATTAGGCCACATTCCGGCACCTCCTAATCCCGCCCAGACTTTTGCAGTTACCATCTCAGTGAGCGGGGAAAGTAACCGAACCAATTGGGTGTGACCAGCAGGTGGCCATGCCTCGTCTAATCTAACTAACCATATGCATGTTGTCCTTTGTTGGGGGAGGACTCTCCCGGCCCCGATTCCCCAGCTCGTCCTGCGTCCCCGATCCTGTCGGCATGTAAAGCGAGTCGGTCTTTATCCTGAGGCACGCGGCACCGCACCCAGTTTCTTGGATTCGAGTCGAGTTTGTTGTCATTTTCGTATTCATATCCACAATGGACGAAGGGCTGGTCAGGGACGGATTGCTAAAAAAGGGCAGTTTATGTGTATATTAAACCAAATAAAATTAGCATTGGGAAAGCAAATTATTTAAGCTAATCTATATTCCCTCACCAAAAAAAGAGTATTAATAGAGCTAAAGCTCTTTCTTTTTAAATAATTTTTGATATAAATAATTTCAAAATATATATTTTGAAAATAGTATTTGAAAACCTTAGTTGTGATTTTGAAAATGTGATTGGCCTAAAGTGATGAGATTGAGATCCTTCATTGGAATGAAATCCATCCCTGCATCCAGTAAAATATCTATCATTACCTTTTTCACGTTCCAGCTTTCATTTGTCCACGGGAGGGGATGGCTTCTTTGTTTGTTATTTTACAAGTTGGCCATTTTGCCGCCGCATGTTTACACCCCCGCGAATTATTCTTTTTCTTAAAAGGGAGTGTGTGGGGCCGCGCCTCCCTTACCAACGTATTTGGTGGGCCAGGCCGAATCGGGCCAGTTCTTGGGCCATCAGTCGCAGTCGGAACTGGATTGGCAAGGCAGCCGGACGTACTACGGGAGCAACACGGCGGTTCCAGCACCTGGCAGAGCTCATAAATCAGTCGGAAAATGGATGACGATACGGACATCTTCAAAATCGACCCGCGCGAAGTGTGGCTGGAAAAGGAGGCCATTGCGGGCTTTCGAGTGTGGCACATAATAGCCGCCGTCCTAGGCATTTTGATGTTAATTAGTGAGTAGAAAAAGGGGCAGATATTAGGGGAACCATCTAACCGCACCGATCGCGCAGTGATTATGGTATGTTGCTGCATTCGCTTCCGGATTCCGCGCACCAAACAGGAAATCGAGGCGGACTACCAGCGCAAACAGATCACCAAGAAGTTTCGCGAGAAGCTGCAGCAGATCAAGAACTCCGAAATGGACGACATGGACCTGATGAAGGGTGAGAAAAGTGCTCTGCCATCTCATTACCACCTCATGTACACACACATACGCATACACACCGCGTAGAGGTCCAACTGTGTACCAACTGTCCCAGTTTCGTTGTCACCCTAATGCGAGCCAAGCCCTTTTCCTGTCTGGTGCTCCTCCTCATCCCACCCACCATCCATTTCCCTCCCACACGAGCTCACGCATTTGTATATACAAAATGATAAACGACTCCTTCAGCTGGCTCCTCTTGTTGCACGCTAGTTAATGCCACACTGAGGAAAACAGGCTATTTAAGGTCCTTAAAATTAGTTTACTACTAAAGATTAGAACCCTTTAAAGCTATAATATACGATTTTAAAATTCGGGTTTAAACATTAAGGAAGTTATAATTCCTAAACCAAATTATAAATTGAAAATTATTTAATCTACTACTCTACCATAAAGTAATCGTTTTCAAACTTGTTCTTGATCTTATACTGTTTGTTTTGAAGATTAAATTTGGTTCTTATTCGAATTATACCAAATATTTTTATAATTGGTATTATTTAAATATCTTTTCTCAGACGAGTTGGTTTTTGTCTTAAGAATTACTCCAATGTCCTATTTAATTCTCTGTTTAGTTATTACTAAACCTATTCTTGACTTAGCAATAATTTTTTCCCAGTGCCTAGCGTATTACTCACTCTCTCTATCCATCTCGCCCCGCCGCTTCTCTATCATAGCACTTGCTTATATCAAATTGGAACAGTACGATGATCCCTAAGGGCTCTGTAAATTCACCCGCACACTGTACAAACTATCGGAAGTACTTAAGCAGCAAACTCTCTATCGCAAAAAACACTGCCAATGTAAGTAGCACAAGCCTAAAAAATATTAGACCCAAGTGTTTTCTCAGATATAACTTAGTTTATCCAATCATTACTTTCAGTTTGTGCCCGCATCCAGAGCGATTATCTGAATTTTCAGGCTAGCATGGAGAGCATGAATGAGAAGCAGAATGTTAAGTTTAAGATCTAAGTGCCTTCTTGAAAAGTGTTTAATGCGTAACTGTTATAGTATTGTGCAGCTGAGATTGTATCCTTAAGCGAATTGTTAGTAAGATAATGCCTTAATCTATGCAATAAAAAGTTAATAAATAAAAAGAGCTAAAAGTACACAGTAACTTAAAGCTATAAATGAAAGAGGGTATATTTTATATTGCAATTTGATTTTCTCGTTTTTATTGATTTCGATTTATGTATCAAAGACTTGTTAATATTTGCAGTATGTTTTTAAATGCGTTTTCTACACATATAGGCTAATTGCGTGGATAAATCCTCCATTGCGACTATATAACAAATTGGTGGCATCCCTTAGTCGTGTTGCTCGCTTTGACATGGTAGTTTTAGTTCTCATGTTACACTTATGTTTTGGGTTTATAGGTTTAAAATGCGGTTCTGCTGTGACGCCGACTCGGCTTACGACTGTAACAAATTGGCGGAGACACGGACTTTAACGCTGACTCGACAAAACACACAATTCAATTATTAACTCGTAACTATTAATTCTTTGTTCATTATTTTGCTGAGCTTACATTTAGCCTTAAGGTTCTGTTTTGGAATACTTTGTTTTGTTAGCTTGTTTAGTTTTTGATGGATTTTCCACTGTTTGGCCAAAATTATGTCCGGGTTTCGCATTTTAATACACAATTTATTTTTTATATTTATATAAAAACAACTAAATATACTGCACACATCATTCGATGCGTTTAAAAGTTCTCCCCCTGCAAGCAATAATAGAATTACTAAAACAGACAATACTATCCAAAATCCAATACTCACGTTATAGTTTTCTTCTCCGTGTTTTTCGGTTCAGGCCTTGCACGGTTTAGCACCTTGAGGAAATCAGAGGTTTTTGCACGCATGCGGGAATGAATGTAGGCCTTTGAACACTATTAGAAAAATGGTACGATAAATATATGATGTACCTAAACTTTTAAACAACTCTCACCTTAATGTGGTAGTGCAAATAATCTCGAAACATGTGAATTAGGTTAATGGTATTGTCCCTTGTTTCTTTGTTGGTGTGGCGAGGAAAGAGCACTGCAAAAATAAAAAAAAATGTTGTAGTTGTAATGTATTGGAAAAATATTGGGTTTATAATTAGAGCTTATGTTCTTTTGTAGACGAACACAAGTCGTCTGTTGTAATATAAATTATCACTCAGGATGCCGTTCGACTTTCTGGTTTCTTTTAGAGTAATTGAGACACAATTCAAAAGTATGCCACTTTGACTCCAGAACACAATAGCATTGGAACTTTGATTATTAATCTGTACACAAACACAAGTCATCTGCTATAATATAATTAATTATTCAGGATGCCGTTTGTCTATATGGTTGATATAGGAGCATTAGAGACACAGATAAAAGGTGTATTTTAAAATATGCCACTTTAACTCCACCCAATCATTCAATGGGTTATTGTGCAGGAGACAAATCATCTTTGGCAATATAATGGATCGATCAAGATGATTCAAACATACAATTAATTTTGGAGCATTGTAGACACGAAAAATAACAGAAATAATCTTCAACATGTAAACTTTGTCTCCAGAAAACGTTTTACTTAATTTTTTGGGCTAGTGTAGACGAACTCAAGTCATCTGTTATAATATGATTAATTATTCAGGATGCCGTTCTTCTTGAATGGTTTATTTTGGGAGCATTTGAGACACTGGTTGAATTATATCTTCGAAGAATGCCACTTTAACTCCAATTGTTTTATCTTACACATTTTATTACTAAAACTAAAGTTAATTATACTTTTATAGACATGTTGTGGCAAGTGTTTCCGAACACAAGTCATCTGTTATAATATGATAAATTATTCAGGATGCCGTTCGACTAATTATTTTAATATTGGAGCATTGGAGACACAAAGTGCAGGATTGTTGCTCAGATATGCCACTTTAACTCCAAAGAAACCAAGGATTAAAACATTTTCATGGCATTTGTACACGAACACAAGTCATCTGATATAATATTATTGATTATTCAGGATGCCGTTCGTCTATCAATTAATTTTGGAGCATTTGAGACACAAATTAAATGCAATTATTAAAAGTATGCCACTTTGACTCCACAGGATATATATTGCAATATTGTGCACGAAAAAAATTGTCCAAGACAATTTAGGATTGCCAAGGACAATTTAAACGGAGCAATTGGTCTTGGAGCATTGTAGACACGAAAAAGATATTTATGCTTTTAACATGTAAACTTTGTCTCCCTTTAAAATTGAAGTTACTTTGGAGAGAGCTATTGTACACGAACACAAGTCATCTGCTATAATACGATTGATTATTCAGGATGCCGTTCGACTATCTGTTAATTTTGGAGCATTTGAGACACAAATAAAAAGCGATTATTTAAAGTGTGCCACTTAGACTCCACTGTATTTATTAGTGTAATATTGTGCACGAAAAAGTTGTCTAAGATTATATAGGATTGCCTTAGACGAATCAAACGGAGCAATTGATCTTGCATTGTAGACACGAAAAAGATTTTTATGCTTTCACATGTAAACTTTGTCTCCGTCTGAAATCTAAGTTCCCTTGATAACAAAATTTGAATTATTGTACACGAACACAAGTCATCTGCTATAATACGATTGATTATTCAGGATGCCGTTCGTCTTTCTGTTGATTTTGGAGCATTTGAGACACAAATTAAAGGCAAAGTTTTAAAGTGTGCCACTTTGACTCCCGCAATATATATATTGCAGTACGAATTTAATAATATTTATGCTTTAAACACGTTACCTATTTCCACATCTAAAACCTAAGTTCTCTCGGTGACAATGAATGAACTATTGTACACGAACACAAGTCATCTGATATAATATTATTGATTATTCAGGATGCCGTTCGTCTCAGTTGATTTTGGAGCATTTGAGACACAAATTAAAGGCAATTATTTAAAAAATGCCACTTTGACTCCAAAATGTATATTTTTTCGATAGTGTGCACGAAAAAAATTGTCCAAAACGATAAAGGATTGCCATGGACGATTCAAACGGAGCAATTAGTCTTGGAGCATTGTAGACACGAAAAATATATATATGTTTTTAACATGTAAACTTTGTCTCCATCTAAAATCGAAGTTCTCTTAGTTACAACATTAGAGTTATTGTAGACGAACACAAGTCATCTGCTATAACACGATTAATTATTCAGGATGCCGTTCTTCTATCTGTTGATTTTGGAGCATTTGAGACACAAATTAAAGGCAAAGTTTTAAAGTATGCCACTTTGACTCCATAGTATTTAATATTGCAATATTGTGCACGAATAAAATTGTCCAAAACGATATAGGATCGCCAAGGACGATTTAAAAGGATCAATTGGTCTTGGAGCATTGTAGACACGAAAAAGATATTTATGCTTTCAACATGTAAACTTTGTCTCCCTTTAAAATTGGAGTTAATTGGTGAGAGATATTGTGCACGAACACAAGTCATCTGCTATAATATGATTGATTATTCAGGATGCCGTTCGTGAATCCATTTTATATTGGAGCATTGGAGACATAGGTCAATTTGAATTTTAAAATATGCCACTTTTACTCCACGGTAATATCGTAGCATAATTGTGCACGAAAGTATTTATCTTTGGAAATATAAGAAAATGCCCAAGATGATTTTAACGATACAATTGATATGGGAGCACTGTAGACACGAAAAAGGCAAAGAAACTACTATAACATGTAAACTTTGGCTCCAGATCCAACATTATAAACTTGATTTTCGTAGAGTAAAATATATCGTAAAATGTAAAGAATAACTGTCCCAAAATATCACTCAAACCTACCGAATGTAACATAGCCGATGTTGTCGCCCACCCTGGCGTCCGTGTTGGCCAATTCCAGCGGCGGTTCGCGGTGCGAGAAGAGCACTTGCGGCGCTGTGTGCGAGGCACGTCGTCCTTCCCTCAATTCCTGCATGAATACTTTGCCGATTATGACGTCGTCCTCATCCCGGAAAATGGTGCTGAAGACGACGGTGACTCGATCGGGCTTGGCCTCCACATACCTGCAAAAAGAAAAAAGTGTATAAGACGACTTGCAATTTCTTAACCTAGTTGTCTGACTTACAAAGTCTCATCGTTGCGGTAATTAATTACGGCCCGCTTTTGGCCCTCTTCACCCTGCTCTTGGTAGTCAAAATACTTTTCGAACACGGACGCGAAACAGTTGCGCTTCAGCAGTCCAATTCTCTTTGCAATCTGCTCGCAGTCCTCTGGAATCTCCTCAAGATTGATAAGTACAGAAACATTGTAGCCTGCAATTATCAGAGTGTAATTAACTTCTTTGAAAGCCAAACTTGAGCTGTGGTTGCATGAACAGACCTTCTTCCGTGTCTGTGAGCAGACTGCCATATTCACGCTTCAGCAACTCGTCGGCTCCATGCTCTTGCAACTGTTTGTAGAACTTTAGCGATATGCTAATCTGTTTCGGAGCATAAGAAAAGTAAAAAGTATTAAAAAAAGGTTTTTCAATACAAATTCTTGAAGAACTCACTCGAACTTTCGTTTTATCGCCATTCACATTGGAAATGTGATAAAGCACACCGTCAAAGTCTGCTATTCTTATGTCTATCGATTCTGGCTTCAGTCTGCAAAGAGAATTCAAAAAATAAGGTCAAGATCGATATGTTATTAGTCATGATTCCACACCCCACCATATCTTATCTCAAAAACCTGTTTATACTTGATTATCTTTTTAAAAAAAGCCAATAACAAAAAATCAAACAAAATTAAATAATATTTCTTTGCGTTTTGCAACAAAATGTTTGCCAACTCGATTTATCTGTTTTAATTTTGTTTCATTAAACAGATTCAGTTTGCCTTTTAAAAATAATTGTAATATGGGGAGAAACTCACACACAAATTAGAAAAAAATTCTAAAATATGCCATAAAATAGCTCCCAATCGTCATTTTAAGGAATTCTAAAACATTATTTTAAGTCTATTGTACACGAACACAAGTCATCTGTTATAATATAAATAATTATTCAGGATGCCGTTCGTCTATCTCGTTAATATTGGAGCTTTTGAAACACAGATTGGAAAATATTCGCAAAGAATGCCACTTTGACTCCACAAAAAAATGTACATCATATAATATTCTGGACGACTTAAATGGAATAGATCTTAACGCCTTTCGATATAAACTTTGTATCCGGAGAAGAGGATTGAATAACACTAGTTGAGCTATTGTGCACGAACACAAGTCATCTGCTATAATATAAGAAATTATTCAGGATGCCGTTCGTCCATCTTGTTGATCTTGGAGCATTTGAGACACAGATCAAAGGAACATTTTAAAATGTGCCACTTTAACCACAATGGCTATTTTATTTAAATATTGTGAACGAAAGTATTTATCTCTGGATATATAATAATACCCAAGATGATTTTAACGTTTCAATTAATATCGGAGCATTGTAGACATGGGAAAGAAAAATAACTTTAGCATGTAAACTTTTTCTCCATAGAAATAACTTAATAAATAATAATCATAATACAAAATATAACCGATTAAACAGGATGGTGATGGTCTATCTAGGAAATATTGGAGCTGTAGAACCACGTTATTTACTTTCAAAGTTAATTAATTATTGTGCAGGAGTCAAACCATCTTTGTCAATATAATGGATCGATTAAGATGATTAAAACATACAATTAATTTTGGAGCATTGTAGACACGAAAAAGTACAGAAATCATCTTCAACATGTAAACTTTGTCTCCGGAAAAAGTCTTTTTTGACTTTACATTTGTAGACCAACACAAGTCATCTGTTATAATATAATTGATTATTCAGGATGCCGTTCGTCTTTCTAGTTGATATAGGAGCATTAGAGACACTGAGCAAATGTTGATTTTTGAACATGCCACTTTGGCTCCACCGGAAATTTCATTGCTGTATTGTGCACGAAAGTATTTATCTGTAGAAATAAGATGCATTTTCCAAGATGACTTAAACGTTGCAATTAATATGGGAGCATTGTAGACACGGGAAAGAATATTACCTTAAGCATGTAAACTTTGTCTCCTAAGAAAATTAGTAGACTTTATTATTCAGGACTAATGTACACGAACACAAGTCATCTGTTATAATATGATTGATTATTCAGGATGCCGTTCGTCTTATGCAATTAATATTGGAGCATTTGAGACACAAATTGAAAGATCTTTGAAGTATGCCACTTTTGCTCCCTGCTTGAATCAATCGGATATTGTTTCTTAATATCAAGTTCTAAGCAATGCTTCAAATCTGGCAACAATTAAATGAGTAATTTGCTAGAGTAGAGTTATATCCTTCATTGTCAATTAAACTAAGTTTAAGTTAGAGGAGTGTGTCTTTTAACCGTTTCATTAATTGTGATTAACTATCAATGCTCGATTTCCTTGACACACTTTTAGGTTAATATCTCCTGAAAACTTGTTGTATTGTATTCTTTTCGGTCTATGGAGAAGACGAATATAGTGGAATTTATAGGTTAAAACTAGAAACCAGTGATAGTGAAATCATGCTATCATGATCTCTTTTGATCTGCACTATTTGTGTGAATCTTTGTGTGAATCCTTATGTTTGGGTAGTAGTTTCGATTTGTGTGCTTCAGGCAATGAGTCAGTTATGTCGTTATGATGCACCAATGATGCGATAAACGAGCTGTAATGAATTAACAAATGCGGTCGACGGGAAGGGGGTGCACTGTACTTGGGTACGTGTGTGGGAGAGAGAGAGCTAAAGCGATGAGTGTTCCAAGTTCCAAGGCTGGAACTACACCCGAATTTGTTCCCGCAAGGAAAGTTGGTGCGAGCGGGAAGGGGCGACGAAGCTGATAACAAAGCCGACTGCTGATAACAGTGGGGAATGCAGTAGATAAACCAAAATGGTGGAACGCGTATTGGAGCCTGAAAAATTTGAACTTACCCTGCTTGGGCATTACGGTATTTGACCAGCAGCGTCTCCTCGATAATACGGTTATTGATTTCCAGCAGGATCATGGCGGTTAACTAACTGTTATTTTTGTGCCAATTGCGGTGACAAATTTTATGACGTTGACTGCCGCTGCTGCTACTTCTTCTTCTGCCGCTCCCTGCGCTCTTTCTGCGGTAACTGTTTCTTCGACTGCCGCCGCTGAGTGCGAGTGCGACGGGGCGAGCTGCTCCAACTCACCAATACTGGCGCATGACGGGCGTATCGTATTAATGAATCAACAACAAAAAATGGGCGCTGATGTCGGCTTTTTTGGTCCGTCACACTCACACACAGATAACCCGGGCACTCCACACACAGAGGCGAATTCCAATGCTCACGCACACAGCCTCAGTTGCAGTGGCACGAAAATCCGTTTTCTCCCCTTCTTCTAATGATCAATTTCCAATCGCTTGAATTTCGCTGCGTGGTAGATGCAGTGGAAAATCGGTCTCGGACCGTAATACTTATTTAATTATAACAAAACGTGGGTGAAAAAGGAGCACGCTGCCGTATTTTTCTTGCAGACGGCGTTGCCAGGTCGCACGATAGAGATGGAGCCTTGGATGATACTATCGATGTCTTTGCGACTATCGATGGTGAGGGTCACACTAATCAAAGCCCTTTACAAATATCATTGTTTATTAAAATATCAGGATAATGTGTCGAAATTAGCGCGCTGTTCGATTCATTAGCACAACCATTAAAAAAAAAACATTTACATATCCTATTTTGTTGAGTTTCCGATCTGGCAACAAGTTTTTTTTAGAGGTGGAACTTATGTCGGTAAATCGTAGCTCGTTGCCGGACTGTCGAAAATAAATAATAACAAATAATAGCGAAAATCAATGGACGACGGCGAGCTGATCAAACTAATAGAGAGCCACCCGATCCTGTACGACAAGGACAGCGCCAGGAGCGTTAAGAATGCGGCACAGAAGGACGCGGCCTGGAAGGCCATCTCCCAGAAGTTGGGCGCCTCCGAAAGGGCTTGCATTACGCGCTGGAAGAGCATCCGCGATCGTTTTGGCAAGGAGTTCCGTCGCTTCCAGGAGCGACCCGACGAACCCACCTACTGGGACATGTTCCCGCGCCTGCTCTTCCTCAAGGATCACTACAAACAAGGACTGGCGAGGAATGAGAGTCTGGATGGGATGCGTTTTGAGCCAAGGGAGCGAAAGAAGCGCCCAAAGGTGGACATGGAGCAGGAGAAGCGGCGCAAGGACGAGGAAGAGGAGGACTGCCAGGACGACCTGTTGAACGAGCAGCTTATCGAGCTGGTCAAGATGCATCCGGTACTGTACGACCGTCACAAGATAAGGGTGTCCAAGAACCTGGCTGCCAAAAACGAAGCCTGGCGCGAGATCTCCGAAAACCTCAATGTGTCGGGTTAGTTTGGACTGTTAAACGTAATGTTAGTACTCAATATTCTTGAATTCGACAGAGGAACTGTGCTACAACCGTTGGAAAAAGTTGCGCGATCGCTTCGCCCGGGAATACCGCAGCCAACAGATCAACCAGGCCACGCCCATCACCTGGCGCTACTTCAATGAGCTCCTCTTTCTGGGTCGCCACTTTCGCAAGGGAGTGCCGCTGATCTTGGAGAACATTAAGCGTCGCGGACGGCCACCTAAGGCGGGCAATCCCTCGGGGAATCCCAGCAAACAGCCGGAGGGTATGGTCATTTCCAACGGCGAGCAGATCTGGGGCGCAGACTATCCCTACAGCACGGACAACGACGAACTGGAGGATGATCTGGAGCTGCCCTATGACGAGGAGATCGAGATCCTTTCCGAGGCGGAGCAGGCAACACCCTATGATTTCATCCTCAGCGAAGCTACGCCATCGCAGGACTTGGAGCCACCGCAGCAATTGCAGGTGACCACCACTACGCCGGCCATGAGCGAGGAGATAATCCACACCATCGACAGAGCGAATCCCGTCGTGGAGGAGCTGTCCTCCATCGTTGAGGACTCTGTCCCGCCTGCCACCACCTCCGACAAACTACTGACCACCGTGATAGCCAACATGGAGACCGTGCTGCAGCAATCGCGGGAGTTGCAGGCCCAGTTCCAGCACGAGCAGCAGGAACAGGAGCGAGAGCAGCAGAGTGCGATGCCGGCAAATAGCCTGCTGGCCAAGGCTCAGATGCTGCTGGACGGCCTGAGTCCGCTGGAGCGATCAAACGCCGAGCGGAAGATCGTGCAATTCCTGTGCCAGTGCCAGATAAAGGCGCTAGACGGGGAGGAAATCGAGGATGTGGCACCTTGTCAGGTGTTCAATTGATGGCAAGGGGAGAGTTCCTATCTAGCTTGTTGTAAATAAGTTCATGTAGACTAGTTTCATACTCTGTTTAAGTTAATTATGCTTTATTAAAGTTTATTTTAACATCTTATTAAAAATACACAGAAAGGTAGCAAAAAATATGTTATTAGATGTACAAAATTAAAAATGACATTTCAGGTTTCCCAATAAAATTTTATAAAAAATTATTTTCAATGCATCTCAATAATCCAGTGCTTGCTATTAAAAACCCAAATTTAAAATTTAATTTATTTACGTGATTTTATGCATTAGTTTCGTACCATGTGTATTTTTGAAACTCCGGTGTTGCAAAGCGCTGATATATCTAACCAAAACTATCGCCATCTGACCGTTACCCGCCAGAGGGCGTTTGAATATTCAAAATAGAGTCGGCTAGACGCAGTCAAAAGCAGAACCCAAAAAATCAGACAAAAACAGACCAAAATAAATAAAATACCGCCCACGCCGGCACCATTTATTGCAATTAATAACGAACAAATTCACGCACACGCAGCAGATGGATAAACAAATCGGTTGGCGTGCATTTGGCGCTGGGATAAGCAAGCGCCCAGAGATTTTGATTCGCTTAGTTGCCGCCTCCGGTTCACACGGTGCAGTTGCTCGGACCCCGAGATACGGATACGAATCCAAATCCGAATCTGTATCGGAATATCTAGCTGTGCGTCAAAGAGCGCCGCCGAAACGCTGGGAATTATTAAGATAATAAACGGGAGCGCTTTTTAAGTGCCTGCGAATGGTTCTTCTCGGGCATAAACTAGTTTTGTGTAAATAAACGAAGCGCCCGGCAAGCGTTTGAAGTTCTGGCCGGGATCCGGATTCCCAGCGTGGAATTTACGGTATGTGTGGCGTGAGGGGATAAAGGAAAAGCGTGCGCCCATTGTTGTGACACTTGCCGGCTCATCTTCCTCATAAAACCAAGCCCCATATCGCTGCTCCATGAGCTTGTGGCCATTAGCTCAATCATCGACGTTGGAGGCGGCTCCTTGGTGGTCTTTTATGCTGCCATAATAGTTCCATTCTTTGTTGACACACAGGTAAGTTCACTTGGAAAAATATGATGGTCTATTGTTGGTTTTTGTTTGGTGGAAATTAAACAAAAAATTCGAATTTTCATAACTTACCATATACAACGAAAAATTGAAGATCGGTTTTATTTTACTGAAATCAGTGTTTTATTTTACTGTCATTACTTTTATACTACAATATCTTAGATTTATTTTAATGTCTAAAATTCAAATTTAAACAAATACTAAAAAATTAAATTATATATTTCGTCCTATAATTCTTGTTAAAAAGTATTCATTTTCTAATAATGTAAACATAAATAAAATTTCACAAATGTTTTTGGCTTTAAAAATCAATAAATAAAATGATAAGGGTAACAATTTTTTGTAAATTTTTAAAAATGAATTTGGATTAAGGACATTGAAAACAAAAATTTTTTTATGACTTATAAATGGTATATGCTAGCGCCAAACATTTCAAATTGATAATGCGGAAAAATAAATGTAGCTATTAAATAAATAAATAAATAAGCAAGTAACGTAAAATTTTTCTCAGTGCGCAGTAAGCTGACAGTAATTCATATGCATCCATCCATCGCTGGCTTGATATTTTTAAAGCTCAAATGCAAATGTCGCTCCAGCATTTAAAGTTCAGCAACCGCAGACCTTTGACCTGACCCCGAATCACCTCGGGCAACGGGGGCTGCCACCCACGTTTACAAAGCATCCACTTTGTCACTTCATTGGAGGTCGAATCATCAATCACCCATGGCCATGGGTGGTTGTTCCACCCCACCCCACTCCACCCCAATACATAGCCCCGCCCACTGGTCTATTTTGCACTTGCAATTGTCTGCGAACAGAATTTGTATAATTGCCAATTGCCGCGGATTTACTCGATTGCAGAGACCAAATAATATTCAGCATACGCCGTGTGTGCCAAATTAATTGTAATACATTTCGCCGCACTGCCGCACACAAATACACTCGCGCACTAGAGGGGCTCTTATAAATTTATATATAACATATATTTATATATATATATAGAAATAAGGAGAGATTCGCATAACAATAAATCCAAACTGAACATTTGCGCCGCTTTGCACTTTGGAGCACTGAGTTGTCTGTAAATTTGCGATTTTGCCATGGTTCTGTTCTCTCTGCATTCGAACACATTGTTTTTGGCAAATATATGTGCAGCAGAAATTGCAATAAGTGCCTGTGTATGTGTCTGTGTTGGCGAGCTCCTCGAGGGCTGTAAAGTAATTTGATTTCTGAATGAGCTCCTCATGCGGCTAAGCAATTCGGCAATAATCATTGAAAAAAAAGTGTAGTAATGCCAAAAAGGCATTCCTGATTGTGATAATTGCATATATGCAGTGATTTAGCTTTTAATCGAGAATGTTTCGGTCTTAATTTACTGTTCTGGGTAGACAATTAATAAAAAGGGACTAATATGGGTGTTATAAAGTTATTGAAGTATCAAAAGATAGGCAAACTGAAAATTTTAAAATATTTAATTATTACTTAAAATTGTGTATGCCAATAGTTTTTTTGACAAACACGCAATGCCATCTGGTTATAAGTTTTCTTTGAAATATATTGAAAACGAGGAATTATTATTAATATTTACAGAAGAATAACCGATAAATAATTTAAATTCTTTAAAAAATTAATTAAAGAATGGGTCTAGTTTTAAGGCAACAGGTTTTAAATAATTAAAAAATAAAACAATTACATTGTTTACCCAATTATTACTTCCTAAGATGTAAAAAAAGTATCTTGAATTAAATTAATTTAAAACTTAAAAAGCCATCTTGGATTTATGCAATAAATGCAATTAAAAGGCTTCGAAGTGCACCTATTTATACACAAAAAGAAAATGCCTCCAAAATTTTGTTCACAACCCTCGTTGTTGTTACTTGAACGTAACCCATTTCGTGTACGTGATGGACACACACTTTTCCGCTTTTACCCCTTTTCCGTGTATGCGTATCCCATTGCCCTTCGGTAGGCTGCAGTGCAGCTACATTTTTTTTATGGCTGTTGCGACATGTTTTGCATGGCCGAAAAACAAAAACATGGGGCCCGAGCCCAGAACAAAAGTTCAAACACTGTTGCAAACAATTTGCAATAAAATTGAATGCACAACCGATGGCGAAGGGAAAGCTACAATAACAGCAACAACGGTGGCCAAAACTCAATCATGTGGCCAGTGGAGTGGGCCACTAAGTGGCCCTGCCCCCTTTTTGCTCAACCTTTGTTTGGAGCTTTGAACCTTGGCGCCATTTCGCTGACCGGCGCAGCCAGGCGCATAAATTTTCCTTCGTCTTTCGACTGGCAGGAAAAGCGAGGGGGAAAAGCGCAGGGAAAGCCGAGAGGCTGCAGTTCAAAAGACTCGCTTGGCAAAAGTTCAGATCAAACTTGCGTCTTGTTCTTGCGCTTTTCGCCTCGTTCGAACGCTCGCTCCCCGGGTTTTGCCATCTCGGCAGCAATGACCTACAAAAGCATTTAAAATTTACGACTTGGAGGCGATTCTGGCTCGAGATGAATGAAGACAAAGTGCAGAAATGGCCAAGGAGGTGGTTCTTCTCCAAACCATGTCAGTGGTGCCAATCATTTGCGAAAGAAAAACACAAAAAAGAAATCAAATGTATTCAAACGCAATTAAACGACTTCAATAAAAAGGACGTCTGTTCTTAACTGAATTTTGACGACATTAGCCCATTTAGTTTATCTAAAATAGTTTATATTCCTATATTCACAAGCAAAATGAATTAAATTTACATTTATTTATTATTATGACATTATTAAAGAAAGTTTTAATAATCAAAAATATATATATCTTCTTACGTTATAGGTATTCACTACTTATAAAATATGCTATAATTTATACAATTTAATGTTTAGTTTGAGATCCACATATTTTGATGAGGACAACAACATGTGAGTCGACTCTATCGGTCATTGTTAATATTACGGCCAATTATTTATTCATTAAGCAATGCTGTTTATTTGTATTTATATATGGTACACAAGATTTAATCAAGTTAAAATGATGAAGGAGTCTTTGTCTAGCTGCTGAAAAGGTAAATATGCCATGGGCCCCCTTAATTGAGTAAATACATACAACCTAATGGAATTAATTGCCAGGCAGTCTGTACTGTTGATCCTAGCGACCTGGCAGCTCGTTGGGAGTTTTCCGAAGCGTGGAAATTTGCGCCGCATGCGTCAAGCTGTTTAATTGCACTTGTGTGCAATTACATTTAAGTAACTGAAAGGGGGAGTGCACTTTGCTGACAATTAGGTGCACACGCGTGCACAAATTGGATCGGGCAGCGCCCACGGGGCGTATGCGTAATCAAAAGAACAAAGACCATGCTACGTCAGACAACAAAAGGCTTGCCGAAAATCAGAGTGCGAAACCATATCAATCTGCACTATAAATATATCTCGGGCAGGAGGTCCCGAATTATTTATACACATACGTACATTCCTTCGCTCTGACTGCACGAGTTTGGCGATTTGCAATTACTTTGCTATTTTGGCATTGGCTTTTCTTCTTCGCCGTCGCTCCGTCTGCGTCTGGCTGTGCTGCTTTCCCCGACCGCTTTTCCTCTCGCCATTTTCCCATTCAATGGTCCATTGTCTGAGCACGCTTGGCATCGATTCAAGAGCGCGAAATCGAATGCTACTGCTCATTACTCATACGCAACGTGGCACATCGAGGAAAAGCGAACATGAAAAAACTTTCAAGGGGAATAGGAAATAATTGCCAAATTAAAGGAAGATTTGTCAATGATTTTAACTTTAAAATATTTAAAGAATTTTCCAAAGTTTTCTTATAATCAGAACAACAATTTAATATAAATTCTTTGCATTTCTTGTAACTATAAAACCCTATGAACTATTTAATCATGACTCCATTTTATTTTTTTTTTAATTCCAATAATACCTTACATTCTGTTGAGTATTGGCATTCAAAGATTCGGGAGTGGTATAAAAAATGGAGTAATTCAATTTGCGTAAACACATTTCGAAACAGATTTATGGATTATTATCCCAAAAATTCATTATAATGCCGGAGAATTGCCAAATTGAGAGCAAAAATTCGTGAATTCATAATCATTTGAAATCTACATAAATAAGCAAATTGAATGTGTTTGTAAAGGCGGCAAATGCAAAAGTTAATTATGCGCAAAGTGAAACCAAATGTTTTGGCTCAAACACCATTGCTGGCGAATGTCGAAAGCAAATTGAATGTAAACTGAGAAAAATGAAATACGATGAGCACTGTGGCCGCAAAGGGGGAGGCGAAGGGCCATCCATTTAATGGCCAACTGTCCGCTGGCCTCACAGATCTCGAAATACTGTACACAATATAGAGGAAAAATAGAGAATACATAAATCTACGGCTAGATGCTGTCTGGCTGATATAAAAAATATATCACAAAAGCATTTCAAGTGCTCTGACAAAGGCGCTAAAAGCAAATGGATAACAAGCGAAACATTCAAACATGTGAACATAAAAACAAATTAATCAATTTCATGCAGACAACAAAAGCCAAAAAAATGCGTTTGCATTTTTATTGCGAAACTTTTCCAAAAAAAAAACAGGCAATGAACTCGACGTGTTTTTCTTGACTAATTTAATGTTTTAAGTTCAGACAATCAATTCTCAATAAAGGCGTTTTTGACAACAAAAATGTTAAGCAAATGATCAGGAAGTACAAAAAAATGTATGTATTTCTGAAAACCCTTAACGAAAACCAAAATAAGTATAGATACTAGATAGTATAACGTTAAGTAGCGTTTAAGCATTCAAAGCTTAAGAAAAATATACATATGATTAGACTTTTATTTTAATATCTTGTTAAGTTAAGGATCAGCTCTTTTCGATATAAATGTAAGTCAAAAGTATTATTTATTTTTCATGAGAAAGTAAGAATTGATATCCAAAATATTAAAAAAAAAAAGTATTTATAATTACTAACAATTATGTAGATCAGAACTAAAGCGTAGTTTATTGT